GCGCCTTCCGACTACTATTTGTTCCGGTCCCTGCAAAATTTTTTGGATGGCAAAACCTTTACCTCAAATGAAGATGTCAAAAACCACCTGAACCAGTTTTTTGCCAGCAAGGACCAAAACTTTTATGAGTGGGGAATTATGTTACTGCCAGAAAGATGGCAAAAGGTGTTGGACCAGAATGGCCAATATATAATTTAATAAAATATTTATTCATTATACGAAAACTGTCTTTCATGTTCCCCAAAAAAAACGAAATGACTTTCCGAACAACCCAATAATATATCGAATTTCTCAGTTTTATTAAAATAATTTCCCAGCTTATATTGAGATCATATTTGTTGAATTCCGTTTTTAATACGAAGCATTAAAAAGGGAATCTTCAACGTAGGGTGTTTATGATATCTGCGATCGTTGCAGAAATAGGAAAGAGTAGCTATAAATCTGATCGACAACAATAAAATCTTAAATGCGTTGGACTCGACGACATTTCGGTAGTTTACGAATCAGAAATAATATATACATATATGTTTTCGCTTGTTTACAACAAAAGGGGTTGAAGAAAAATACTATGTCGTACTAATAAATGAAGATACAAACAAACAAAGCTCTACTCTTTTTAGTAAATTTACTAGTAACTTTTTTATTTTTTCCTTCCTAAAAAATTTGTTGCAACGGAGTAAATAACTTTTGCGTATCAAGTTGTCAAATAAACGTATAAAAATCTACCCGGAGGGCGAAATCTGAGCAAAATAAACAAGATCGACGATATAAACAAAACGTAAAGAATTACATAAACGTGTGTCATGGAAGACAGAAAGAAGCGGCCGTTTTTGTTCGGAAAAGTTAAAGATGTGGGTTGGGCACAGCTGGTGTTCTAATAAGTTGAAACTTTGACTTTTCTAAATCAGCTACACATGTATAGGAATTCCATGGCGGATTTCATATCGGAAAACCCCAAGCTAGGTTATATATCTTCTCATATTTGGCCGGCTTTTAGATTTGATACGTTCCATTCCGGAGATTTAACGGATTTTATTGAATCCGATTTTATTTTTATACCAAAAAAGGCTTTAAAGTTGTTGATACGATCTATCTCTTTAAAATTCAGCAAATTCACGAGGCTCCCGCTTGATTATCGCGGAACAATGGGCGACGTTCTGCGGTGCGAATCTGACATCAACTAAAATTAGATTAGCCTATAGGAAAAACAAAGCCCCGAAAGGTAGTAAAAAAATCGACGACCAGCTTCTGACGTTCCACCTCCACTCCGCTAATTTATATTAATGGGGGTATCTAATATCTGATGACAAGGGGTAAAATTTACCCGTTCGCTCACGGTATTTATTCAGCCATCAGCCCCCAGGCAACCGGACGCTTGTTATAATGAGCTACCTGATTAGTGACTTAACCAAAATCGCCGGTACTTCCGCAAAGATACGGGGTGATAACCCGGCTATGGCGTTTACATTTTCGCACAACCTGTCTAGATAATATCACACATATTTAAACAAAATCGAAAAATAAATTCCAAATTTGTCAGCATTATCGTTTTTAATGACAGGGTTAAAATATAAGCCATTTTTATTAGAAGAACAACACCATATTATTGAGCAATAATTTAAATATTTTCAGAGCCCAAATGGGTTAATTTTTTATTATAGTCAATATTTGTTTTCTCGATCTAAACAATCGTAATATAAAATAATATATAAAACCTGGTAAAATACAAATTAATACAAAATTCAGTAAAATTGTTACAAAGTGGTGTACTTCAGATTTTGTTAAAACGTTTAAGGTTATGATTAAGGGAAACGAGCAACAGGGAATGTGAATTCTTGTAAGAAATAGATATTAACGAACAGGTTAAATATATTGGGGTCCTTTGATGTACTCAAATTTTATCAAAGACAATTTCTACATTAATCCACAGATTTTACCAACGTTTACCAACAAAAATTGCATATTTTACAGTTTTGCAATTGATGGATGTAGACCCTTAAATAATAAGTTATAAAAATATTATTAAAGTATAATGTTAAATAAAAGCAAATGCTAACGGAAGCTTTATTTAAAGAAGCACAAAAAGACGTTGTATTTACAATTTTGCAGTACAAAGCGTTACTAAATATGTATATTAAATCTGTAGAAAGAATATCTGCTAGAAAAAATAAATAAAAGTAAGTCATATAAAAAAATAATATAAATCAAATAACTGGTTGTATAAAAGAGCCTTAACTGATTTTTCCGCAAAAATTATGGTATTAGTTTTTCTTATTATTAATATTATTTAAAAAATTACGTAGTAAATTAAATATTGTTAAATTATTTAGGCAAAATACGATCGTATGTATATGGATTGCAAACCTAATGGTTTTGAATACATAAAATAAATGAATATTAAATTTTTTCGAGTTTTTCGAAAATCGTTTCTCGTCATAAAGTTTTTGTCAAAACTATATCACCTACTTAAATCGTCCAATGCTGAACTAAATAAAAGATATCTCATTCGATTCTAGAATCGCCTGAGCTTGCAAAAATCTTTACCCAGTGCGTGCGAAAATCGAGTTTTCGAGAAAATCTCCGCGATGACTGCATCCAGAAACAAAGACAGTAAAAGCACGTACTTTTCTTTTCCGTTTCTTCTCTGTTCGCACAGAAATTGACAGAATATTATTGCGCCAATAAAATACTAAAATGTAAAGACGCCGTCGGTAAAAATGCGAACGATTATTATTTACAAAATGCAAAATAAACGCCGAAAATTGCGTTGAAAGTATACCAAAGCGATTTTCACTTAAATTCCGTTACCAGGAAAAACGGGACATGGTCCTGAATATTTTAAAAATAATTAAAACGGTTATTACACTATATACCTGAGGAGTTTAAACAGATACTGTCGTTTGCTGGTCCAAAAATAAACTCTGAAATGAGATCCTAAATGTTTTCTTTTCACATCGTTCGCTACTTTAGCTTAACGCCCATCGTTTTCTAAGTTTTGTATTATACGACTCTACCAGATAAAACGTCAACCGAAAAGAAAGGTCTCTGGGTCAAAACAGAACGACGTTGCTCCAAATAACATTTTATTTATTTCGTTACTTTTTCCCGTTCCTTGTTAATCACGATACAATAGGAGTCTTCTCCCTTACGGATTGTCAATAATTTGTTATAGCAGTTAACTGTTGGGAGTAGGTATCTTGCCAATTGAATTAGATTTATGGTGATGAAATCCTCGACACAATTAAACTTCATGGCTTTTTTTTTCACGTCATTAGTTTCTTGCGTCCTATGGCTGACACCCCGACTTTTCGCTTGTTTCTTCGAAAACCGAAAATAAAGGAATCCTTTTTTGTCGATCGCCCAGGGCTATTTATTGCCTTTCTAAATCCTTTCCGATTTTTTGTCAGGAGGCCCGGTCATTCTCAATTAAAAGTTTATAAAGTAGGGACAAAACTACGAACAAATTCCTTTTAAAAACTGCGTCCTAAACAGAATAAAATAAAAACTTGTTATGCTTTATAATTACAACCCAGTATATCGCTATTAAAAGAAAATAAAAATTATATTCATTATCATAGAAACTGCCACGAAAATGTTGCTCAATTCCTTACGATATTATCTTCCGAATATTAAATTTGAATTGCCTATTTATTTTACCTATCAATGTTTGAAAGTTACGATTACAAGACAAACAAAAACAGTTGGCGATACTTCATAATATATATTGTCTAAAATTTATTGTTTATGATTATTTTATTTTTGGTTCTGGTGATAAGCACACGAGAAATAAAAAAGAGCTTCTCAAATTTAAAATTTCAAAATTCGTTTGCATTAAAATTTTAAAACCCCTTTTTTCCGAGAGCAAAATATCGAGATATTTCGCATTAACTAAATCGACATATTACAAATTATCTCATTTCCAACGCCACTAGCGCGCCAGGGATGAACCAACTTCTAAATTGAGATATACCGAAAGATTGCCTAAAACTTTTATGAACCGCCCGGAGCCATTGGAAGTTCGCGTCTTTTTAGTTCATCGTTATACCAATTCAAATCATCCCTCGTAGCCTCGCTCTCCTTCATTCTCAAAAATTATCAAGCTTTAAATAGATTAGAGTCCGTAACGATTATTGGTTCAAGAAAAACCTTCACAATAATTGCCTAACTTAATTTCTTTGAACGTTGGTCCGAAAACGGCCGTTAATAAATCAAAATAATTAAAAAGGTCCGACAAACCTAAATGAATTTTAATTAAAAAGCGAGTTGCTTAATATAAAATGATGAATACGCGGACACTGAAAGCGAAGAGCGAAACCCTATGGGTGCGGTCTTATTTACCAAAATGCTAAATGAAAACAACCTCCCAAGTTAGTTATATATTTATCCAAAAATTCTGTTTTCCGAGAGTTTGAAGAATTTTTTGAAAAAACGTTACCTGCTTTTTAGTAACTTAATGGAAAGTTTTTATTTAAGCACAAAAGAAAGTTTTATTTACAATTTTGCCGTACAAAGCGTTCCTAAATATGTATTTCAATCGCATCTATTTTTTCGTTAAAGTTTTGTTATTTTAGACTGAAAACTGGACTCGGCTCAGTTCATTTATTGTCTAGGCACATTTCCCCGAGAAAACGTTAAAATTGAATCTTATCAGTAAAAGGCCTCTTTTATTCATCCATGTAGCGTCATCTAGCGACACATCGGCACAACGGTTTTCAGCATTAGCAGCAGCTGTTGCTAACGCTAACTGAGTTTTAAGGAATACTAGGATCTCGGTAAAAAACAGTTTAAGCTCGCCCAATTAAAGGATCAGTGTCTGTCAAAAACCCGCTATAACAGAGGTCGTTGACTTTGACATCTCCCATCAAGGTCAGTATTTTAAGATCATTAAACACTGTAGCTTGTAAACAAAGGCCCAGAACAATTGAAAAAAAAAAAAACATCAACATATATAATATAGAATTTTATTGTTATCATTTCAATTAATGAATACTCATAAAATGTACAATAAAACGAATAACAGATGGATAGAAACAAATTAATGAGCAATAGTGAAACTTCCGTCGTAAAAAGGACAAAGCAAGTCCAACACTTAATGATTAAAGTCCTACGTCTCTCTAGTTTATGGCAAATTTACAAATCCGGAATAGCGTAAGTATTCAGGTGATCTGCAGCACAGGTAAACTGATGCATCCACTGACGACGAACCGACCTGCGTCAGACTTTAACTGCACTTTCAACAAGAGTTTTTTTTCACAATCCTTGTTCCTTTGTACATAACACAAATTTACAAAACCAATCTCACAATCATATTATTGCCGGATTACTTGATCAGTAATATCAAAAATAAAATAAAATACTCTCGATTCACACTGTTAGCAGCACCATGTTTCTTTGCTATTTAGGATTAAAGTAGGGAGGTTGCTGCATATGCGGTGGTCCGGGACCGGGACCCATAGCCTGAGCAACACCTCCCATTTGACTACGCGTGTTTGTAGCATACAACTGCTGCTGGAAGTTGTGATATTGCTGCGCATAATTGGGATCAGATGTGGTGGGTCCCACAAATGAATTATTCTTAAAGCTATTGTTCTGTCCCATGGATGGAGGCAATGGTTGGCTGGCATCCGGAGCCCCCATGCCCATTGGACTACCTTTAGGGCCAGTGACAAACATCTGAGCAGCAGAAGGTGTGGGACCCATATTTGGGTTGAACATGCTGGGATCTGGTCCACCTGGGCCCCCAGGCGGGCCATTGAAACCCATTTGAGGCATCCTCATCATAGGCCTCATTCCAGCTGGTGCTCCTCTCATCATTGGCATCATTCCACCTGGCATTGGCATTCCTCCACCCATCATTGGACCAGCCCCATTACCTATATGGCCACCCATAGGTCCCATCGGTCCCATAGGCCCTTCTTGGGTGAGTCCTGGGCCACCATCCATATGACCCATGTGGGGTCCCATGGGACTTCCTTGCATGGGACCGTTATTAGGGCCGCAATTGGAGAAATACTGCATGTTCTGAGCAGGCATTTTGTTTTCCATCATATTCATTGGAGTAGCAAGACGGGTTAGAAAATCTAGACTAGGTGGTCCTCGAGGTCCTGGAGCTGCTCCCACCTGCGATTTTGCAGGTAGATACTGTATTGTATTAGGAGCATTTGGCTTAACTTGAACATTAGCCCCGTTGTATGGATTTGGTCCTGGAGGACGCCCCATCATCCTAGGCATAGGCATATGATTAGGGAAGGCACCTGACAATTTTGGCGATAGAGAGCGCATATGTCCCATTGGAGAGTTTGGATGGAAGCCATGTGGTGGGCCTTGCATAGGCAAGCCCATCATATTATTAGCACCTTGATCCATGTCGCCCATTCCATGACAACCTCCAATATCCATCATATGCATTGATGGGGATCCGAAATTCATCATGGGTGGCCCCTGATTTCCTTGGCCATTTAAAGAGCTTGCGACACTGTTTGTCAATTGTTGACTCATCTGTGCCAATGAAGATATTGGATCAAAATGAGAAACTTTGGGGTTTCCTGGCATACTACTGGTACAATTAGGGTTCAAAGGGACATTATCCCCTCTTGCACACCCATAGTTAGGGAGATCCAATGGATTGGGCTTTCCCTGAGGAGACACATTGACTCCAAAGCCTCCAGCCATTTTAGCACCTGGAGAGGCATTTGGACCTGGAAACCGAGGAACGTCCATCATATGTGGACTAGGTGTTGGAAACAGGTCAGTTTTAAGTGGATCAGAATTTGGTCCAGGCACTGTTTGTGGACTCATACCTGGTGCAACAGTTGTAGGCCCTGAAAGTCTTTGAGGTTTATCCCCTGTAAAAATGTACATATATGCATCAAACAATTTGGTGTCTATTGACCTAATTCTTACCACCACAGGTAGTAGCTGTAGGGGTTTGAGGGCTAGGAATTTGGAAGCGACAACCCTCTGAAGATACTCCAGGTGTTGGAGGGAAACGTGGTCCCACATCCATAGAAGTGGGAGTATTTGGGCCAGAAACCCTTGTGTGTGGAAGATCTGCATTACCAGGAAAACCGCTTTCTAAACTGGTTGGCAATACTCTTTAAAAAAAAACACACACACAATTAAAAGACACTTCCAACAAAACCAATTGGTCTTACGGTGGTGATATGATATTGCCTTCTTTAAGACTTGTATTAGGTTGCTTTTGGATGATCAGCTCCTGACCTTCAAAAGTATTTAGGTACTGAATTTGTTGAGGTGATGGAACTGGCATAAGGTTAGGCTCTTTACCAGCCCCCATTGCAGAAAGACTTGTGGAGCAGGACGACGTAGTTGATGTGTTCATTTGTTGTTTCTGTTGCGCCATTGACTGGAGTGTTCTGCCAAACATACCATCCACTACAAAAAATAAATTTATGTACCACAAATTTAAATTAAATGTCTATTGATTTTTACACATGTTATTATTACTTACCTGTAGATTGATGGGTCGAAGTTGGTTCAGTACTACTACTCGTTACACTAGGTGATAGATGTGAGGAAAGTGGCGTGCTGGGATTACTATGATTAAGTCTTGGTGCTGAAGGAGAATCCTGAGATGTAGGACTTTGACCAGTACTCATATGTCGCGTGAGACCAAACGCTCTGTTAGGGTCTGCAGGGGAATTCAAGGCCGATGAAGCCCTAGGAGAAGGAAGGGAGAGGTTAGAGGTGGGATTATTGGGTGATGTAGGATTAGGGCTTTGCAGTGCAATAGGGACGCTTGCTGATCGAGGAGTCTGATGATATGGTGGAGGTGGACCTTGTAGCCTCGGACCCATGCCTTGTCCCCCTCTTGTATTGGTCGGTGCAGCACTGCTTGAAGGCGGTAAAGGTCCACTTGCACCACTTACTGGACCAATAGGAACTATTGAGCCACAACTGGTGTTGGTACCCCCTTGTTGGGATTGAGGCTTTATTTTTGTTCGATCCTCATAAAACTGGTGCTGCAATTTTTGCCATTCCATTTGAGCAGTCACTGGGGATTGTCCTGGTGCACCTGTACCAGACCCAGGAGGTGCACCACCAGGAGGAATACCAGGTATACCTTCTGAAGGTCCAGCACCAGTTTCATTGCTCTGGTTCTCAAGAAAAAGCAATTGCTGCAAATTTCTTAATGTTCCTAGTTTTTCCTCCCTGCGCTGCCTCTGCAGGGGAGTGAGGTTTTCATCAGGCACTTGAACACCCTGTAGTTTGGGCTGAATGTTTGAAAGGGAGGGGCTACAAGAATCCATATCTGGACCCATATCAGGTAATCCATTACTAACGGCACTGTCCAAGCCTTCTAAATGATGATTGTTTTTCTGATCCCATGGAGCATCTGGGTCACCAAGACCTACCATTTCTTCTAACCCTTCTGGCCCCAGGAAATTGTCTATGGTAGTAGGAGGTTTGGGACCCAGACTGGGACTTCTAGTGCAACCTTTGTTTTTCATCATGGGCAAACTATTTAGCCATTGCGCAGGGTTTGGCCTATTAAACTGGGTTATTTTAAGCGGGTTTTTTTCTAAGTACTTCTTGGTACCAGGTTGCGCACAGTGATAGGCTATTATTGAAGCATACCTGCCCTGCACTACTTCTTCTGCACCAGAGTTTGCCAACATTGTTGAGAAAACAAATATTTGACTCTGCTGTTGCATATATTGGACTTCCATTGAGTTAGGTTGTTTATTAATTACGTTACTTTGGAGTGGTTGAACTCCTTCTGGCTGAATGGGAGGAGGATGATTCCCAGCTCCTCCAGATGCAGCCTGTCCTCCAAGAGCAAGACCAAAAGCATCTCCAAGGCTATCTGCTTCTATACTATCCTCCTGCTTTAAAGGTAGTGAGTTTGAGTCTGTTCCTGAAGCATTAACAGCATCCTCACAATGAGTTTCAGCCTTATGGTCTGTAGCAGTCTGCATTGAACCTGTGTTTGTTGAACCCACAATACCACCATTCTTTGTAATAGGCCCTGCACAAGGTTCTTTTTTAACTGTAACATCATCCTCCTTTTTTATACGGACATCCACATTTGCAGACTCCTTGTCTGCGCTAACAGACTCTTCTTTTGAATTGTCTGAGCCCTTTTCGTGCTTTTCTTTAATCATTGCGATATGTCACATTTACCAGGTGCTCCTTCCATACATACTTAACTACACCATCACTTTTTTTCACTTAACATGTCTTTTGCACCCTTCTGCCCCAAACAAGATCAACACAAATTCCTTACAATAGTTTCGTCCATTACAGTATCACCAATTAACGTTTCATATCACATATGTCCTAATGTTTTTATTTGCATTCCAACATTTTTTATTTTCTTCTCTTAACCAAATTTGAAGAGACGCATACAGGCTCTTCTGGCAGAAATCCGCATTGCCCAAGTGTTTCAGCTAAACTATCTTATATTTTTTGCTCTAAAACTGGCAGATGATATTAATGTTTTGTGTAAATTTTGCTCCTACGGCCATAATAAAAACTTTTATTAAAAATCTCACATCACAAAATGCCAAACTGTCCACACGCGTTGCTACCAACTGTTCAAAACATTAAAACGTCAAATAGGTGCCGCCATATTCCAATCTCAAACTCTTAAGCGGTCCTTACATGTTCTGTTATTCAGTATTACTGACAGACGTTAGGAATACTGTCAGTATTACTGACCCGTGTGAGGGCAAATACTGATTAACGTGTGAAATGGTGTGCAAAATACTGACAAAAGATTGTCTGTAATACAGATTGGTGACGGTCGCTGCCAACTTGTAAAATGTTTGTAATTATTTTAACAATTTTTTTTTAATCTTAAAAACGCTCAGGAAAGCCGAAGAATAAAATAGCAAAGCTTTGATGGCAATTTAAAAATGTCCTTTCAAGAAATTATATCAAAAAGACAATAGGTATAAACCTGATATAAATATTTCATTCAAGCCAAAGGACATGTATCTTTTTCCACTGTTTCTCCTAAAAAATCGGTTGCTTAACTTTTGCAAACTCTGTTATAAAAAACTGAACAAAATAGGATACAAATCTGTCTTTCATTTTCCTAGAAATTAGATGCGGCATCCTCTGCTTAAGAAAGACATCAAACTATCGCATTTAAGATCATTCGGAATTTCTCGGAACTTTACGACGTCAGTCGAAAGTTCATTAGAATATCTTATCTATTCTGCATTTATAGGTGCTATCCAGTTACGTTTTATGTAGAAAATCTTACCTTCTCCGCGTCTGAAAATAGAAACGGTTCTTAACGAATTTCATTAGATTTCTCGAATAAAGCCGAAGAGAATAACTTAATACCGTGCGTTTAGCGGTGGTTACCGAATCTTGGAAATTGTTTTTTTGAAATTATTTAAAAATACTAAAATCTAGTGAAACAAAACTTCGGAAATTAAATTTATTGTTTATATAACAAAATCCAAATAAGTTACAAATAAATTACAAAGCAACTTAATTTAACTGAAGCCAAAGTTTAACTGAATCTTTACTACCCGTGGAAAACACGGTAGGGATTCCTACCGGGTTTTCCAACAAAATGGTGCCCGATTTTCCATTTTCTTTAAAATTGTGAAACTTGCAAAAGGGTCTGTTATCACATTGTGGTAGTTTATCATTACCTACTTTCTTAGTAATGAAAACAGTTTTACTTGAAGAATTTTTTAAATCCTTATCTGTCGTTAATTCACATCCTTGGGTATCTGTCAAAGTAAATTTATCTACACCAAAGAGCCTAAATACTTCCAACTTAAACTGGCTTAAGTCAATAGATTTTTTGCCAGCTTCAAGAAGCACAACTCCTTTAGATGATCCTTTACAATACTTTGATTCTAGATCAACTAGTTGCACATTCACCCATTTTACATATGGTAAATTACTGCTGCTACTTTTGGTCAAACAAATATAAAGGTTACAATCTTTCAGCTGCTGAGTGTCCTCAATAATCACTTCGTCAGAGGCCTCTTTGTCTGATTTAAGAGACGCTTTAATAGTACCCTCAATAAAACTTCTATATTCTTTAGCAATTCTAGCTATTTCACCTTCACTATTATAAATCACAGAAATTTCATCTGTTGGTACTAAATGGGCTTTCTTCCTAAGTTTCTGAATGCGATTAATAATTTCCCTAGCAATTCCTTCATCCTGCATAGAGGAATCGGCGGAAACGTTCAATAAAATCAACACGTCATTATCACTGTTCACTTCATATTGATTGGTATTCAAGTTTTCACACTGAAAAATCAATCTAACTTCCCCAATTTCAATTCGATGTCCGCAAATATCCTTGTACCCTTTCTTAGACATTTCGCTTATCTCAGTGTCAGTTAATGACTTGATTCCTTGAGCAACTGTTTTGGCATGCTGCTTCAACCTCATACCCAGAACCTTATGATCGGGTTCTGCTCTCAGAGCAATTCCAAACTTACTCTTATTAGTAGTTGTGTCCATTTTTCGAACATTTAGTTCCGACAAGATATATTCCTTTAATGAGATTATATCTTCAATGTACTGTGGATCTTGGTGCACTACTATTACTTCAGTCAAAGGGTACTTTATGGGGATGGTTTTTCTATCTCTTATAACTCTACCAAGTTCAATAACGCTCTGCATACGATGCACGGCTCTTTCAATAGTAACATCAATTAGACCTACATCTGGTTCTGGTAACATTAGATAATGAACACTTTCAGAGGAGGAAGTGGTCAAAACTTTCATAGACTGATACATAAATTCAGACAAAAATGGTGCGAAAGGCGCCATCATTCTTATAATGTTGAATAGGATATTGTACAATGTGGTTAGAGCAGTTCTACAATCTTCAGTACCGCCCTCTCCCTTTAATCTTTTTCTATTCATTCTCACATACCAATTTGTTAGGTAATCCACATATTTCATCAATCTGGGTACAACATTATATAAATGATACAACTTCATTTCTTTTCTAACATACTCGAGCAGAGACTGAGTAAAAGAAAGAATCCAAAGGTCCATTATATTATCACTTTTAACATCATTTGGATTGTAAATAAATTTCTGATGATTCAGTTCTATAAAAACTTCAATATTTTGCATAAGGAACCTAAAGGCGTTATACCAAGGTAAAAATACATCTTTTATTATATCTCTCACTCCTTCTTCCTTAAACCGCAAATTTTCGGCTCTAACCACAGGAGAATTAATCAAATAAAGCCTTAGTGAATCAGCACCAAATTTGTTTACTACTTCCATTGGGTCTGGATAGTTTTTCTTGCTTTTTGACATTTTCTGACCATCTGCTGCTAGCACTAATCCATTGGCAACAAGATTTTTGAATGGAGCTTTACCAAACAAAGCAGTAGACAGAACAATCAATGTATAAAACCATCCCCGGGTTTGATCTATACCCTCCGCAATAAAATCTGCAGGGAAATTTTCTTCAAATTCCCTAGCATTTTTAAATGGATAATGTTGTTGCGCATATGGCATAGACCCTGATTCAAACCAACAATCAAAAACTTCAGAAATGCGCTTCAAAGGAGGGTTACCAGGTTTGACACTTGGTATTTCAAGTTTATCCACAAATTCTTTATGTAAATCGGAAACTTTTTGTCCTGAAAGTTCCTCCAGTTCGGCAATACTACCGATGCATCTAATTTCATCTCCAGTGGGTGAAATCCAGATAGGAATGGGAGTTCCCCAATATCTGTTACGACTTACGGCCCAATCTCGTGCTTCTCTCAACCAATTGCCAAATCTTTTATCTTTAACAAATCCTGGGACCCAATGAGTCTCCATGGTAGAATTAACAAGCTGATCTTGTAGTTGCTCTACTCTTATAAACCAAGAGGGTACAGTTCTGTAGATTAACGGTGTATCTGATCTCCAGCAAAATGGGTAGCTGTGCTTAATCTGGAAAGCAAAGAAATTATGAAACCTCGAATTTAAGGCTGTAATGTTTCAATACCTGAGAATGATTAACCAGTTTATTATGAGCCTTCAAGTGAGCAATGATGTTTTTGTCAGCGTCTTTAATATATTCTCCTTTAAAATCAGAAATAGGCTCAGTAAAATGACCACTGGCATCTAATGGACATGCCAAGTCCATGTCTTTTGAAATAATTCCATTAGCCAAACAAACTCGGTAATCATCTTCACCAAAATTGGGAGCTTGATGAACAACACCAGTACCAGTATCTGAGGTAACATATTCATCGCAAACAACACGAAAAGCAGCTAAAATATGAAAAAAGTTTATTTATTGTAATTAATTCACCATTGAAGTAGTACTTTCTCTATAGATGTCCCTGTAATATGGGAAAGGTGGTTCATATTTCAATCCTTCCAAATGTCTTCCTTGAAATTTTTTCAATATTTCATAAGTACTGGCTGGAAAAATTGATTCAATACGACTCTCCATCATTATGTAAATATTCCCAGTTGGAATATGTTTTAATCTTGCATAAATTAAATTTGGATTGACACAGGCTGCCAAATTGCTTGGTAGAGTCCATGGAGTTGTGGTCCAAATAAGTAAACAGGCATTTTCTTTGTCATTAAATATAGGTAAACTAACTGTTATAGTTGGATCAACCACATCTTTATAATTTAACCCTGATTCAAAATTTGAGAGGGGAGTGTTACAAGCATTAGAATAAGGCATTACCTTATTTCCTTTGTACACAAAACCTTTCAAATATAATTGCTTAAACACCCACCAAACTGACTCCATAAACCAAGGATACAAGGTCTTATAATCATTTTTGAAGTCTGAAAAAATGTTATGTCCAATAAAACTCAAAGGGATCATATACAAGCTTACCAATCCATCTTCCCAGGCGTCCAATTATAGTCTCCCACTCCTTACTGTAACGAGTCACAATTTTTCTACATTCAGCATTGTACTTGTCAATGCCCATTTTCAACACATCTTCGGGTCCTTTAATTCCCAAAGTTTTATCAATCTCAAATTCAACTGGCAGCCCATGACAATCCCATCCAAATCTCCTCTCTACATGAAATCCCTGCTGGTGAGCATATCGAGTCACCACATCTTTTATGGTACCAGTAAGAATATGGCCATAATGTGGTAAACCAGTTGCGAATGGTGGACCATCATAAAATGTATACCTGATAAAGCAAGACAGAGATGCAGATCAATTCATGAGATTGAAGTAGGTCTACCTCGGCTTTCCTTTCGATTGTTTCAAGCAGCTTTCAAACGCTTTGATATCATTCCAAAATTTCAATATTTTTTCTTCTTCATCGGGAAAATGTATTGTTTCTGGGACCCTAGGCACCTGCTGAATCAATTTACCACTAGACATTGTAGGCAAACCCTGCGTTCTATTTCCTGGTTTCAATCAAAAATGTTTTAACCAATGTACTTATTTCATAAGCCTCGTCATAAGAACCCCGAATCAAACCTAACCTAACCTAGAAATAAGAGAGCCAAACAGATAGACTACTTCTAGCATGTGATCAACAGGCACTGGAGTGTGATAAATCACTCACTAGATGGCACTATTTTATTTACCTGCAGAGAAGTCTTAAGATTCTTTTTAATAATTGTTGAAATAGCCTTAACAGTTGTCTGAATGTTATTTATAGAAAGAAGTAGAAACAAGAAACCCCAAACCAATCCTAACCTAGAAATATTAGAGACAGAGAGATAGACCACTGCAGGCAAGTGGTCATGTGGCAGTTTGACAGATCGCTCACTAGGTGGCACTATTTTGTTTTTCTGTAAAGAAGTCCTAATATACTTTCAAATAATTTTTAAAAACGCATTTGTGCCTTAAAATGCCCGTAAGTCGACTGGATGTTGTTTATAGAAAGTTGCTTTTATCAAAATTCTTTGTAAAAGGTTGGGGTGTACCTCAAACAATAAAAAGGTAATTTATTTTTGTTAAGGTTAGTTGTTTTTCAGTTTGCTGCAGTTTTACATATTTTCTTAGCTGAAGTGTGGGGCTTGTTTTAGGCTATTTAAATTTAGGAAAATAATGTCTAATAGGGCAACATGTTACCAACTAGTTCCAAAAAATTATCCAATTACTATACTTAGTGTAAGTTTCATGTGACAATAATGTGACCCAAACTCTAGATCTACACTCTGAATGTTTTCCAGTCACAGGATAGAGCAAATTATCGGATAATAGAAGGCAAATTTAAAAGTCCTTTAGGTTCACATTTGCCCGGGGTGGTCCCATCGGAGGTTGAAGATGCTTATTTTCAGATGATTTTACCAGTGGAATGGCCAAGTAGTAATTTTAAACCAATATGTATTCATTTGGCTGGAACAGGGGATCATGTACTGTATAATTTAATAAAAAATACATTTATTTTTTTTTTTTTGAAATTTGTTGTAGTATTATTGGAGGCGACGTAATGTCATGGCAAAACCTTTATTAAAAGATGGCATTGGGGCTATAATATTGGAAAATCCATACTATGGCTTAAGGAAACCTAAAGATCAAATTAGATCCAGCGTACATTATGTTTCTGATATATTTGTAATGGGTGGATGTCTGATGCTAGAATGTATTGTGTTACTAAATTGGTGTGAAGAACTGGGACTTGGACCCTTGGGAGTAACAGGAATATCCATGGGTGGACATGTAAGTTAGCACAGCTTAGATTCCATCAATTCTAGTTGACCACATAGGTTTGGAGGGTGGGGGGTGATCAATTCAAATAAGATTTTATCTTTTTTTTTATCGCTTGTAACATTTTACTTTGTGTAGATGGCTTCCTTAGCAGCAGCTAGTTGGCCTAAACCTTTAGTGCTAGTCCCTTGCTTGTCTTGGTCCACTGCATCATCTGTTTTCACAGAGGTAATATAATTTTAGTTTTCCTTAATTTCCTATTATGGCCAGCATTTTTAGGGAGTCATGAGTGAATCTATAAATTGGGACTTCCTTCAAGAACAATATTTATCTAATAAATTGTACTGCGAGGAACTATCGAAATTGTGTAAAATTGTTGATGACCCATTTGCATGCAACCTTAGTAGAAATTTGACAGGTTTGCACTTGTCTTCTCCCTATTTCTGATCTAACATTATTTGTTGCAGATTACGCAGATTATTCATATGATATATCAGATCTAGTAGATGAATTAAAATCGAGTTATATGACCCCATACGAGTTGGTTAACCTAATCACAAGCAATCCTACTAACTGTCACGCAATGAATTATAAATCTTTTAGTCATGAAAAGAATTTCAGTACTCAGTTGAATAGATTTAAAAAAATTCCATTCCTAACCCCTAGCGATAAAGTTATCAAGATGAGAAAGAGAGGTAAATTTCTACAGATGTAAATTTGTCAATAGATACCAATATTTTGTTTTTTAGCGAAAGAAGCTTTGTGGTTCATGAGGGGAATGATGGACGAATGTACACATTTAAGAAATTTTTCTGTGCCCGTTGATACCTCCCTTATCATATCGATATGTGCCAAAGCCGACGGTTATGTTCCTCGAGCAGGAGTATCGAAATTAGATCAAATTTGGCCAGGTGCAACAGTAAGATATGTTGAATGTGGACACGTAGGGGCATATTTATGGCATCTTAGCATTTTTAGGTTTGTTTTTTTGGTATATTAGACTTCCCACATAACATATATTTTTTACAGGGCAGCAATAATTGAAGGTTTTAATAAGGCCAAAGAAAAAAAGACCACTCCTACAAGCAAGTTGCCATATGTAAACTTCTAGTCATTTTATTGTGCTTGTTACTCGTACCTGAGCAGACTCTCAAATTGTGATATGTTATAGAATATAAATAAATTTTACATATTTAAACCTGTATTTTTTAATTAAAATTCGTTGTTTTTTAATAAAATATATTACGCAAATAATTTTAAACTGGTAACAAAATAAATAATTGAACAACTTAACTGGAAATTTTTGAAAGTCGTTACATTAATCACTTAATAGTGAATGACGTGATTTTCAGCCTCCGAAGAGCCATCAATAGATAAAAATCTTGTTCCGTAAATATACATGTCAAGAATTTGTAAAGTACAATGCGCCACGAATCGCACAAATGGTCGAACATCGCCCATATTCGCAGTTTTTAGGGCCTGATAATATTGTTCTCTGAAAAAAAACTACATAAGGGACTTTATAGAACATAGTGAAAAGCATACCTTTGTTCTTTTAAAATCATAACTGGAGGATAACCAGCTTTAAGCAAAATCAAATTCATAATAAGTCTGCTTGTGCGTCCGTTGCCATCCACAAATGGATGAATATCAACTAATTTGTAATGAGCTATGGCAGCGTATCTTACTGGATGCATACTGTGAGCTTCTTCAGAATTTAACCATTCTGCATAATTTTCCATCAATGCAGGTATTTCCTCGTGTGGAGGAGGAATGTGACTACCAATAAACACCTTTTCATCTCTAAATACCCCAGACTTTATCGGATCAACATGCCCCATGACTCTTCGGTGGATCCCCAAAATTTCTGTAACACCAATATAGTCTGTTCTGATAAGCAGCTTAACATACTGCATAGCTTTCTCCAAACCAAGAATCTCATTGTGCTCCATTATACTTTTTCCACTAACAACGTGTCCAGTTTCTAACACATACCTCAACTGTTCAACTGTCATTGTGTTGCCTTCAATGCCCACCTAAAAAATTACTCTTCACTAATTCGTCTACATAATAGACCAACTGAGCAGGGTGGATATTAGGGAAAAAAAAGTTCCCATGGAGCCACCAAAAGCAGAAAGACTTAAGTTAACTATGGCTATTGCGACCAAGATATCCATTATATGATGAAAACTCAGTATCCTATTAGTATTACTACTATAAAAAAACACTTTTACATATTTTTAATTTTTCTAAATGAGTGTAGGGAATTGAATGAGCATTCTTCTTAACTAAAGTTTAGGAGAAATTTATGCAATAACATATTTTTTCGTTTTATTTATAAACTTTTGATTCAATTAGTTGTGATTTGAAGCAATAATAAGAAACAGTTTGAAAAATTAGTTAAGGAGAATGATTGGTGTAGTTCAATTTAATTCCCTGTTTTTGTAATAGTAATACTTCTGAAATATTTTAATGTTCTGTCTACTTTCGTTTTTAAGGTAAAAATATTTGTAAGATGATATTTCCCCTTTAGACATAACATTTATATAACAAACTATCCCGTCTTTTAAACAAGGAATCACCAACTTAAGTTTTTCGCATTTGTTCTAAATAACAATAAAATAATAATAAAATTAACATTAAACTTACAGTATGGTAAATATGAAGGTAGTAGGCTTGTTTTTTTACGCTGTCAAAATTGTCGAGTTTCATTCTATCCTTTAAGTAATCCTTTTTATTATCTATTGTTTTAAATAATAAATAATCAAGCCTATCCACTACGGGAGCTGTGCGTTCGCGATTGGATAAAGCAGCTTCATGATTTGGACAATGAGTTAGCGCCTGCAAAAAAAATTGATAACAAAAATCCTATTCATTATTAATTACCATATGTACCTTAAAATAGAGTTCATCTGCAGTGACAATGTCATGGTGTTGTTGTTCCAAGAATTCTCCATACCAATTCAAAACATCTGCATTATCCGGTGCTATAGCACTGGCATGTTCGAACAATTTCATCGCTTTATTATTCTTGCCAGCTGATTTAAATGCTAAGGCTGCTTGGAGGACATTATAAACTTCGGTATCAATGCCCATTTTTTTAGGATTTTGACTTATAATATTAATATTCTCACTAATTTTCTTTGGTTGTGATTTTAATGCCGATGTCAGGTAATTTAATACTGAATCTTCGTCCTGGTTTAGGTTTTGTATTGGATATCCTAGTTCATATAAATTCTTTCTATCGGATGGAATTAAATCTTCAAACTCAGGAGCATATTTTGATGAAGGTTTCTTGTAAAATTTGGTTATGAAGTAATAATGTTGAAGTAAAGCTAGCAAGACACATATCACAGATAAAAGAATTGATATCAATATCACAAGAAAATTCATTCTCGGAAAACTAATACAAGATCATTCTTCCTTTAACTTTATCCATGTTTAATTTATTTCAATTAATCAACCATTTACTAATGTGAGGCCTATTAATTTCCAAATAATTTGTATCATTTACTGCATGATGTGATGTTTGATTAATTTCCAATGGAGTATTAACTTGTTTCAACTTTTTTTTCGCCTTATCGATGAAGATAAATCCAAGAATAATCTAAATATCGGATATTTGTCTAAAAACAATAATAAATTTCTGAATTTTTGAACTACTAACACAAATGACAAAAGCCGCTGATTTTGACAGAATCAAACACGTTGAGAATGTAGACTCAGTGCACAAAACCTAACCCATCAAAACGGGAAAATTCCAACTAATTATACTCAAATATAGCCAATGGATGTTTTATTAGTTGAATTAATTTTTTTTGATGGAATTTCTTAATTATAATGTTATTTCTTTTGCATTTTGGAATTTGTTGCTTTTATCCTGGATTCAACCATAGAACATGATCATTTGGAGAATGGAGAAAAATTGAATGGATTTTTCGTGATTCTATGCTCTCTGTTTAGAACTGGTCGATAGCAAAATTTCAGACATGGAATCCCCTGTCGAGTGATAATGAAAATATTGTAGATAAGATTAGAAGTTCGCAACTTTCCTGCACATATCTGGGTTGAAACGTCTTGCTAATTGGTAAAATATGTCGGGATTCGAGGATAATCCCTTCGGGGAGCCTACAATTGAAAATCCCTTTGCGGTACGTTATTCCCATCTAACATGCCAACACATTATTTGTTAATCCTAATAGTTTATTTATCAATTTTTACCTTCAACTTTAGGATCCATCTGTTCAGCAAGTGACCAGAAACGTAAATGCACAAATTAGAGTAGACGATTATAGCCCCTTTGATAACCAGGCCTCAAACCAAGTAAGTGTAATATGCATATAGATTAATCACAACATTTGCAATGTTCTAGATTTGCTGCTAATCGCCCGTACTGTTTTCTTCTAGTATAGTCATGCAAATAGTACCCCAGCAATTATGCAACCTTTACAGGAGCCCCCTCCACCCTATACGAAAACTGGGCAACAAATTGATACACCAAAACCAGCCTTAAATACAGATGAACTTCAGGTACTTACTTCATTGAAGTTTTTACATAAACCGCTTGAGCTCTGTTAAGCCATTTGTCTTTTTTTAGAGAAGACAGGAAGAACTAGAAAGAAAAGAACAGGAACTAACACGCAGAGAAGAAGAAATAAGGCAATCATCTTATAATGTTAGGCGCAACAATTGGCCACCATTGCCTGAACAATGCTGTTTTCAACCTTGTTTTTATCAAGACATTCAAGTGGATATACCACTAGATTTCCAGAAAATTGTTCGTCATCTCTACTACCTCTGGATCTGTGAGCAGCAAGTATTTCTTGGTTCTATTTTGTTTATAAAGATTATTTTTTTCAGTTCATGGAGCGGTTATGATATGCAACATCCTTGGAGGAATATTGCTGAAAGATTTTACCATTATTGGAGTAGGGATTCTTTATCTATTGTTATTTACACCATTTTCTTACCTTTGCTGGTTTAGGCCTGCATATAAAGCTTTTAGATCAGATTCCTCCTTCAATTTTATGGTTTTCTTTTTCATATTCTTCTTTCAATTTGTCATTACCACAATTCACGCGATCGGAATTTCAGGTACAGGAACAATGTAAGTTACTCATTTGCCATTGAAAAACTGAACTGCAATAATAGTGGCCTTTTTGTTGCAGAGGACTTTTTACAGCAATTTTAACTTTTAAGACTTCAGCTTTGAGCATAGTCCAAGGCATTTTGGCACTAATCATTGCTTTTGGGTTTGTATTTGCGGCCTTGGCTGATTTATTTTTAATCACAAAGGTAACCATTCTGAAATAATGTATCCCCAACCCGTGGTTACATTTACATTAAATATTACAGATTCATCGTATTTATCGAAGTAGCGGGGCAAGTATGGCAAAAGCCCAGCAGGAATTCGCAGAAGTAGTCCTCCGCAATCAACACGTCAGAAGCGCGGCTAGCAATGTAGCCGCGGCTGCGGTCCAATCGCAATTCTCCCAAAACAACACACCAACTAACCGATATTAATATATACATATTTTTTCAATTCAAAATTCACACGTCCAGCCTCAGTATTTCTTAGAGATTCATTGGTGATGCTGGTTTAATAGTTATGAGATTAAAATATATCTACTTTAATTAAAATTTACCGTCTAATTTTGAATTTGCTTTGTTTAATCGCTAATTATCAAGTTTGTGATCCGCTGAACTGTGACTAGGCTAGGCGTGTACACAAAACTGTAAATCTAACATCGAGACTCGAGGGTGTAAATATATTTCAGTTCTTCATTAATCTATACATATTTATTAGAATATTAATATACCATATCGAAGATGATTATTATTTTAAGTTTTTTTTTCATATTCTAACGAGTATTCCAGTTATGTTAATTTAAGAAAAACAAATACACATTATTGTGGGTTCTATTGTACTTAAGTTTCATTTCTATGTCCGACAGTCCGTCCTTTTATCTCCAACCCTTGTATTTTGGTTCGCGACGTAGAAATAAATCTTTTTAATATTTAATTATTTTTTTTTCCATAAAATGCCATTTACACAACGCAAACGCGGTACAGACAAAAAAACGCACGGGGGCAGGGCGGTTAAATAAAACCAAGCGGGTGATTTTTTTAACAGAAACTTTATATATATATAACTCTTTACCAATTTATAATATCAATAAATAAGTGCGTTCGATGTACGCTAAATTAACGATAAAAGTATGCAAGCGAAGGCATCTACACAAAATATATACGAACGTTATATCAACGACAATGTTAAGTTAATAAACCTCTTCGGCAGAAACACGAGTGCACTGATAAGAGATCGGGTTTCATTCGAAATTTCGTAAAAAACGGGACGTTGGAACATTTTTCCGTCGGTTTAGCTAAAAGTAAAAAGGTTGAGACTTCCTGCTATGAAATATGACGGACTCGGTACAGATTGGACAGCATGAAACGTATGTATTCCTAAGCGTTAAACGTTTAATTATTACAGAGGCTAAATGTGGCTTAAATAAGGGCAGCGGGCTTCGTAAACGGTACTTCATTTCACAAGTGTCTATTGAATTTTTGGCTACTACCCTGTTTGTAACGGCACAGTACAATGTGCTCGTTTTCGACTTTACTTCCTTTTTTTTGTTCGCTGACGGTGGTGCATTGTACTTACGGGAACGTACTATGGTGGATGAGGAAGTCTTACACTGAAAAGAGAAAAAATACGCGCCTCTTAATATACCGAGTGTGGAGTAGAATTTCATTTCTTGTTTCTCCAAACTGGTAGGTATTGGATACTTGCCTGTGCAGTAATGACCCTGCCTCGGCCCGAGCTCATGCTTTCACTGCTAAATCCATACCTAAAGCAACATAATCAAATAGAATACTGTTAAGCAGAAACTGCGTCCGTGCTGTTTTTTTTTACGACATGCCTGCTTGTTCCTTAGACTTATCATCAGTCAGCATGGGCGGGGCCGACTGGGCCACGGGAGGCGGCATTTCCGGGGGTGTCCAGGCTTTCACTTCACTGTGAGGTCGGCTGCCTAAGTCGCCTAAAAATCACACCCAACGTACCTTCCGACGACCGTTAAAACACTCAAAATTCATCACGAAGCAGGCATGTGAATCACTACTTTTTGATATACCGGGAATACCGAGTCATAGGTGTCGATATATTTGAATAAATAGTAATTTAATTAAGATGTTTAAGCGGAATATGTAACATAAAATGGCTACGCAAACAAGCTGATTTTAACGCCAAGTCCTATTAAGCGCGGTAAGATTAAAAAGAACACACAAACGCACTCAGAAAATATAATTACATCTGAGCTGGCGACTAATTTATTCCAATCTACACGTGAATTAATTATAAAAATTGTACTCGATATATTAGACGTCCTGTGTAGGCAAAACAAAATCCGAAACGCAATCAACGCAACCAATTTAATTGAAAGTCTTCAAGTTGAAAAAGAAAACTCTTCTTTCAATTATAAATCAAATATATTTTTATACAGAAACTTGTTGGTACTTTTTTTTTAAGAAAACTAAATTATTTTCCGCACCACTCCAATTCGGGACGCCCGGTATATCGGTACATTAATCTAAAAAGTCCAATTTGGAAAACTAAGCCTATAAATGCTAAATTATAAGACGCTCTATAGTCACTGAATATTAAAAAAATAATGTCGCTTTTGACATTTGGTAACGATAAGCGTATAGAGGGCGTTTGTTAACCTCTCCGACAATAGAAAGTATCATAATTTTGACATAATTTTAAGACGAAAATGTAGTATAACATTTGCTGCACTGTCGCTTCGATCAGCAAACGATATTTCGATGATATTCGGTACATATAATAAGAGGTTTTAGCACTTTACTTTGTTTCTATTTTAAACTATTCAATTAGTTCGGAGACTGAGATAACGAATATAGTAATTTCGAAAAACCAGATAATACGGGCCTGTTCGGCAGTTAACGTAAAGAATAATTTTAAGCCAAGTACGTTTCTTGCATTTTTGTAGTTTCTCTCTAGTTCTAGAGTAAGCAATCATTTCAATTACTCATGTCTTATTAAGGTATAGTATCAAATTTTATATTTTCAACACCCCATCCTTCAAAAACAAAGAGACATTCCAAAAAATCGTTTATCACATTTGCGTCTTAAAATTAAGTGAGGTTCCTCCTCGTTCCACTGTGGTTATTAAACACCCTGTAAAGGGGATTGGGATCTACGACCATCGTGTGGAAAACGTTGATTACGGAGAGTGACCCTGCTCTTTGTTAATGTTCGCTGTATTGTCTAGAGTGCAAAATGGAGGACCTTAAGAGCTTTAAAAATCGGATTTGCTGCATCTAGTAAAATTATAAACGCACGGTTCCGGAGGTCCAACATTTGTATACCCTTCTTTTTTCGATAGCGTCATTTCTATGGCAACCAAAACACTTATCTTTCGCTCTGCCGACCGCATCGAATTCTTGGACCGACCAATACAATCACTCACCTTCGTGAACGTTTTGTGTGACTGTAAACGTTTTGCCAGTGTCCAAAGGCACAGTCCAGTTGACGGGATCAGGAGATCGCATGATAATTTGCTCGGGCGATTTTACCCTCGTAGGTTCTGGCGGTGATTTGACAACTGGCTCGTAGTCTATACTTCCCGGCTCTTCGTTAACTTCGTTCTTCTTTGCTTCGTTCGTAATTATCGTTTCCGATTTTGGATGCTCGCCAGCTTGGGAAAACATTGATTTATATACCGCTTTGATTGTCCATAACTTAACACTTTAAAGACGTTTAATCTTTTTTTTTAGTGGAGAAATGAATTTTAAGTCAACTCAAAGAAAATGCAACGAAGAGCGATTTGACAGTGACATTTATAAACCTTAATTTATCCCAGGGTAACTAGATTTGTAATATTCTTATAACTAATATATTAATATATGATATAATCTTCAAGAATTATTAGCACGCTGCATCCGATAAGAGAAACACAGACAGAATACAGAAATGATTGAACTATCCCGAGAAAATATAAAAAAGCGTACCGTAGGCGTCATTGATAGAAGTTAAAAAGCACCCGAAAATGCTTCTTGATCCACTGTTTATTAGAAAATACATTTTTCCAAAAAACCTTACCATCACTTAATGTTAAATCGTTCACCTGATTTTTTTTATACCATTTTCCCGTTTAGTTATCAAAAATTGTAAATGCTATTTCTGCGTGTTTCGATTCAGTGGCCTCCATCTTTGCCTGGGATGAATTAATACTGTATACCAATAGGGTGGTGATAGTAATGGTAATAAAAATGAGATATTAAACATTACCGACGCCTAAAAATGCGTGTGCCAAGCATCGTGCCTCATTCTTACCTTCGTCGCTTCCTTTTCTGCCTACTTTTTGGTTTTGCTTAGATGAGTCTATTGTACCTAATGATTTATTTTTATTTGATTTGGCCAATCGATCGTCTTCATTTTTAGTTACTACCGAACTGGATTTAGATTGGGATGAGGCGGTGGTGTTCAGGGAGGCTAAAAAACCGGAACAGTTGTTACAGTTTACACGCGCCCACTTGCCCCCGGTGCATTCTAAATAAATACAAGCGGTAAGCTTCAGATCGGAAAACCATTTTTTTCGTTTGTGAATTCGCAAACACGAAGGGTCTGTGTGATGGTGTCGACATCCACCAAGCAGGGTGCGTGAAAAATGGTTTTAGATCGGTCCCAGATCAGGCACACGCATTCACGAAACTACAAAGGCTTTGGGGAAGGAACGTGTGGATGACATTGATGAAATAAATAAAAAATAAAAGCTTGAAGGATCGAGTCTTGGCACACACCGGTGATACACAAAAGCGGACTGGATTCTGAGCACGCGAGGCCACGTGGGAGAACAATCAAATAGTGCCAGATTATTCAGTCCGACTCTTGCGTGATACTACAAGCACTACTTGGAGGCTTACAGGGGCGAGGTCTTTTGTTCGAAGGTGTGTTCGAAGTCGATTTTCTTCCTTCTTTTACCGAAGATCTCGATTGGCGTTTAGGTGATTGCCTTTCCGTTTTTTCGATCGGCTCGCTAGTAGGTCCGACGGATTGGGAACGCACTAACAACATATCGGTACAGTTAATATAAGCACACATTAATTCTCAATATTTTTACTTGTTAACACTTGTTAAACAACCCAAAACCATCAACAATGTGTCGCCCGAATTTGTTAAGTAAATTATCATTATTTTATAATTGTGTTATTTGTGTTGTATTTAAACCTTGAACAAAAGTGCCTTTTTTAGGATTTTTTAAAAAAATTTTAAAACTTTTGGGGCAAAATAAGTGGCAGCAACGCATCTGTGCAGTCAACAGTAGGCTTTATGACCGTGATGGTACCTTAAACTGTATTAGTAATTTTTTGGAGCCCCCAGATATTCTGAATAAGGCATTGGGGACCCATGTTCATTAATCAAAATAACTTTATTTTTTAATATTCCATTCATCGTAGAAATCAACGGAGCGTTTGTTCAAATACCCTACCCTGTACCTATATGACTCACATTTTTGGGGCCCGCCTTGTTTTCCCTTTTGACTGCCACGTTTTGTGGTTTTCATCGGAGAACTTTTCTTGGGACTGTTCTTCTGAGAACCCCGAGAATCGTCGTCCTTTCTAGGTATGGTCGGTTCGAGTTTTTCTCTAGTCGGCGACAGTATTAAACCGTCGAAATCTGAAACTGCGAAATTCTTTTTTCCCCGTTGCGAATTCGTCACCTAGGTCGGTACCTGGTCCGCCTGTGGTACGTTCCAAATGGTGCCTGATAATATCTCTAATCATTCTGGCGTTATTTTCGGCATTCCGATACGCTTTATTCGGTGAACTTTTTCGATTATTGTCGTCATCCTTTTCGTCTTTCGTATAAGTTTTTGTCATGTGGGAAGCTAGGGACAATGCCGATAAAGAGCTCCTTCTTGATACCTGGTCCCATAATTCGACTTGTTTGTTATAAATATCCGCTAATCTCTCCGGGGCCAATTCACTACCCCATCCACGATGCTGCAGCAAACAGGGACCGTTTTAGAACATGCTGCCTTTATAAAAACCGCAAGCTGGTATTTAAAACAGTTTTCCAGGGTGCCAAAAGTTTCTTATTCGTTTATGATATGGTATATAGAAAGAAATAAAATCCTTTTTATTATTATCTTTTTAATTTCTCAGGATGAGGCATGCGTTTTCTATGGTTAAAAAATATCACAAATAACAAAACAAGAGAAAAATCCAGATTTTCAAGATGTTATTTGGTACGAGACTTAATTTTCAATTATATTAAGCTTAACATTATTTTGGATCTTGTATATAAAATATTTTAATTTTCGCGGGAGTTTTCATAAAAATATGCGTCAACAATTCTAAATAATTACGTGGTCAAAATGAAATAATTACGCTGGCATACATATAGATGAAATAAGGCAAAATTAAAAAAATGCTATATTCATAATAACTTTGACCGTAGCAAAGGAAAAATTGACATTCTGAGGTATTAGGTGAAAAGTGAAAATAATACACAAAATATAAAAAACCGCTTATGGCAAATAACTGTGGCTAATTACACCCACAAAAAATGTCGTGTTTCTTTTATCCATGTAAATAGAACACTTAAAAAAGACCATAACTTAAATATAAAAACTTAAAAAATAATTTTTTTGCGTTCAAAGTTTTACTTAAAAGAAATCGGATGTCAGTTCTGAACTTACCACTGCCAAAATTATTATAACTATAAAAACTTTCGCGCCCTGTGTCTAGCAACAATTCTTACATGGTCAAGCGCTTACATACTTTAATGTCAATGTCAAGTAACTACAACATCCATTTTTCTTACAAACTAAATCTGGAGAAAAAAGCGATCCCAATAAAAAGCTACAGAAACATGATCATGGATTTGCTTACAAAGCAAGTCTTCTATAGGGAGTTTATCTTTTATCGGGACACCGTTATATCTAGCCAGGTATGTTATCGATTCCCTGCTTTCTGTGATGTGTTTTTGTGATTCGTTTCATTTGCTTTTTACTTCCGCAGAGTCTTTTATACACTTTTCACTAACAGAATATGTATGTTCTTTAAAATATGTTTAATTTAACTGATTGTTAAGGATAGTTTATCTTAATCGTCATATAATAACATGCAGTACCTGGATTTTCCTTTCGTTTTGAATCACGTTACATAATAATAATACTAATTAATAAAAATTTGAGATGAAATTAATTAACTTACCTTGTACTCTCCGGCCTTTTTGCGAAGCTCAACAACTTCGCGGTACCATGATGAGTCATTATCCAAGTCTGCAGAAAAATCTTTATGTACATTTTCAATTTCAGCACGCAGTCGTTGGGATGAAGAAAATCGTCCACTTATATATTGGTAATGACTAAATGGCCTAAACTTTTTTTTATACTCACTATTAAAATCTTCCTTCGATTTTTCTCGATTGCATTTATCATCTACCAACGGCTCCAATTCGCTCGCTGAAATTTGATTGCTCCGTTGCAGCGTTCGCAACTTTTATATCACCGCCGATTTTTGTTTTTATTTGTTTTTTTTACGTATTTCATTGGTGCACTAATGATTTCTAGAAAGCTGCTCGGTGCTAACACTACGCGCGAATGTGGCGTCGACAGTTTGACAGAAATTGTGCCTGTCAAACGGTACGACACACTGTGGGCAAATTTTTCAGATTAGTGCCCAGTACAATAAAATCTAAACATTCTAACTTTATGAAATTTGAATTTCCAATCAGCCACTAATAATTAGCACTGCAAAATATATTTTTTTGTTAACTATGTATGAGTGCCATGAATTACACTGACATGTTAGTTCTCTTAAAACTATTTTGTGATAGTTATTTTAAAGTGAGAAAGAATATGTTTGTATGTAAAGCAATATTTCACAATATAATAGTTTTTCTATACCTATAAATGTGTTAGTACATTATCCCGCAGGATGCGGTCTTAAATTATTTCTAACGTTAATATTAGGTTCCCCAAGAACTAAGACTATAAAATGTAGCTGCCAAGACTTAGCTATTGATTTGATAAGATTTTTTTCTAATTTGAAAAGCTATAATTTTGATTTTGATGAGGAATACTATTTTTTTCATATTTACTGTTAGTTCTGTTTTGAGACATACTACATTTGCTTCGATTAAATATACAGTTTTCGGAATATTTTATTCTACTATCTCTACCCCAATTTCAAAGTGGTATTTGTAAATTCTGTTTTGGCCACATAATGATCATATAATATTTTAATTACATAAAAAATATGAAATATAATATATATCAGAGAATACTTTTTATAAAACTTCTTGATTCCTCCTGCGTCGGTTTTTGTTGAGTCGAATGTGCTAAAGTTTCGCCAATCATCCCGTTGGCTTCTTCAGAGCTTGACTGAAACTGGCTCTGTATCTGTTTTTACAGTTGATGAATGATTCCCATATTGGTGACAAGTAAAGACGCGATTAAGATTGTTATCGTTTATCGAATAAAATTTGATGTCCGGTTTCGTGATAGTGTTCGACAACTGCTGTTGAGTTTATTTGTCTTAAGGCTCTTTCATGTTCTTGGAGCCTAGTTTTCGTAGGGTCTCTCTAATGTATTCTTTGCCGCATATGCACGGAATGCTGTAAACTCCTAGCATCTTAAATGGAGTGTTGTCTTTGACGGACCGTAGATGTTGAGAGATTTTTGGACAAGCGGTAAATCTGGTTTTGACGTTATATTTCTTTAGAACTTTTGATATGTGGTCAATGATGTTTTGAATGTAAGGAAGGACAACTGTGGCAAGTGTGGGATTGCTTTTGGTTTCATTGCTATTGAGCGGTGGTGGTGAAGTGTATTTTGTGATGGAACGCTTAATATCTTTAATGTGGAAATTATTAGAGAGAAGAGCAGAGGTAAGGTGTTTTAATTCTGGGTTCAGTGACTCGGGCTGAGATAGTTTACGGCTCTGTAAACAAGAGAGTTGATAACCGATGATTTTTGGGCCTGATGGTGATGTGACAATGCGTTGAGGTACCGGTCTGTGTGCGTAGGTTTTCTGTAAACACAGTGACCTAATGTTAGGTCTAATTTTCTATTGATAAGAATATCTAAGAATAGGAGATTGTTATTTGTTTTTTATTCAATGGTAAAACATATGTTAGGGTCTATAGAGTTGAAATGTCTAAGAAAAACTACGGTGGATTCTTGGCCATAAGGCCAAATAACAAATAAAAATAACAAAAATATCATCTTCTCACCTTAATTGCTTGTCTGGTACATATTTTTCTTATATTCTTGTCTATAGTAATCTACAAGCAACCTAACAATCTGAACGCGACTCAGATCTCTACCTGTCACCAATATGGGAATCAATCATCCGAGACGGTGTTTATGCTCCTCATTTAACTCCGCCTCCCTCAAACAATATATAAGCAGGTACAAAGTAAAATACGAGTCAGTTTCAGTCAAGTTCTGAAGAAGCCAACAGGATGATTGGCGAAACGTTAGCTAGTTCGACTCAACAAAAAGCGACGCAAGAGGAATTCAGAAGTTTTATAAAAAGTATTACAGTAGCCTGTGGAAGTTTCTTTGAAAAATATATCAGAGAGAATCGAATAGTCATTTGATTTTGTCATTGTCATTTATTCTTTTTTAACAAATATTATTTTCATTTTAAATAGTGCATCTGTTCCTACACAGAAGTATATTAATTGAACTGAGGTGGCTTTTACTTGATGAAAATCCATTTATCAAAATAAATGAGAACTGAAAGTTCAGATTTTCGCGAAATTATATATTTTGACAAATGCACATTTGATAAAGACACGGTGTTGTCGGAACAATTGTCATGTCAAAATATATAATTTCGTGAAAATCTGAACTTTTAGTTCTTATTTATTTTGAAGTATATTAATACCTCCAAATATTCGCAAATTCGTAAATATTTTTTTAAATCCGAATAAAATTGACCAATTGAAATTTTGCGTGCTAGATTAATAGTTTTACCCACAGTGCGACGCCGCGTGTGTCTGATGACGTACGGGCGCGTTTCGAAACGTCCGCCGGCCAACCTACCGTCTCTATTTTCGTTATCGATCCGTTTTTTGTGGACCATAGCGTTAGCGTTCGCCTTAAGAGCTCCCATTGATTGCGATTTTCGTGGAGCAGAGTCTATTTCGTCTCCTCGCGACGTATGACCAGAAGGCCAAGCGAATTGTCGACGATATTCGGTGCTAATTTTTGAAATCGCTTTCCGCAGAAGACCGTTCTCACGACCCTGGACAAGTCAAAAGTTTCGTTAGTTTGGGTTAGTTTTGGTTAGTTTTTTTAGTGCCGATGATAACGAATGTACCTAGACCGGACGCCGATTGGATTTTTGCATTCCAAACGGAATCCCGTTTTACCGTAGACTTTGTTTTTAAGTGGGGCGGGGTTGGAGGGGAACGGAGAAAGCGAAGAAAACGGAATCGAAATTAGACCGAGATAATACTTATGTGGAAAATCGTCGAATGGCAAGTTTATCTTTTACCATATTTTCCACATCAGAGTCCGATTCTCTACGCCGTTCTCCCGGATCCTCTGATACGCCACTACGCGAGGGTCCCTCCGACTTGCTGCGCCTGGAAGGCCTCCACTGAGACCCAAATCGTTCTTCCGACTGAAATTAAAATGAATACATCTCTAACATACGTGCCCATTCGATACCATCTCGTTTTAGCATGCACACCATCACCATACGTCTACAGGGTTACCAATTATCCAGGTTATACGGTCTTTACTCTCTCATTAATTTAGAAGCATAAATAAAAAACGTCTTTTGCCACTTATGGTCGCTTCTTCAATGGGGTTGCGCATTAACATGCAGAATCCACTGAACCTATAGTAGTCAATCAAGAAAGATTTTAAAATAATGAAATTCATTGATTTTAGGATTTCCGTCCTGGCACATTTACAAGAGTTGCACCGGTCAAAGTGAATTTCTTTGGAATTTGCTTTTTTGTCTACATTATGTTCCAGTTCCAGTTAATATGCACATAATAAAGAATTAATTCCTTAGAAAAACATTTTGAATACTACAAATTTTGTAATAAGTTTTTTTTGTATTGGAAATAAATGTTAGTTTTTCTCAAATATTTGCTAGCCCACCTCTGATAATATAACTAACAATATACAGCTTTGATCGCATTTAACCGATCGTGTATATTTCATGATTTAATACATCATCATTATCATACAATCCCATTGGCAACAGAGGCAAAATTTGTCATTCTGAGAAATAATTTTCTAAATTCTAACCAGTAAAGTATATGAAATTCAGTACTAAATAAAAATAAATGATATCTATTTTTGTAATTTTCAATAAATTTTTCCAATCAAAATCCTTTTAATACGGTATGCGCAAATCTCTATTCAGTTCAGCGACTTTGAATTAGAATTGAAGTCCAGTATATGTATATAGAATTGGCACAATCATTTCATTTATTTCATCGTATAATCTGGTAAACCTGTAGACTCTCCTATATTCTGCTCTAGGAAACGTATTCATTTTAATATCTTTTATTACAACATGCAATTTTATTTTTAAAGTAGCCTTTCTCCATTTACATTCACTTCAAAGTTTAATTTTGAAATTAAAACAAAAGCCCTTTATTACAGCGTTAATAAGAAAACATTTTCAACCCAAATTGGCTTTTATTATCAAATATCATATTCTCTGTTGCACATTTTTCATTTAAAGGGCTGCAAATAAACATTGCTGAGAAATAACTTATAGTACTCTCTAGGGGGAAACAGACCCTAAAATAAGGTTTAATGGACGAGAATTTTTGATCATATCAGTTTTGGTTTTTGTTAAAAAAATATACTCTTCTATAGAAAACAATATTTTTTTAATAACTACGAAGTGCATGTAAACTGAGCGTAAGTATAACTTAATAACAATTTTTAATTCTCGTTTGATTTTTTAACAAAAAAAGATCTTCCTTTGCAATCACAAAACCGGCGAATTTTTAAAGTGGCCGTCGCTTTGCCGCCGGACGAACGTAATTTCGTAAAAAAATTACGGGCACTGTTGAATTCCTCGTCGTCAAAACCCAATCATGCGTTAATCTCGAAACATTTCGATCGGAATTTAATACCGAATCATTGTGATTGACTGTTTCGAACGCCCAAAGTATTTCCAGCAACTAGCTTTTAAGCGCGATGTAGTTTTACGTATAAATCGTGGTTTACGCTACATCGACGGCTAAATAAAAAAAATGCCCAACCAAATGTATTAGTTTAGCAAGCGAGGAGGCTTTTACAATTGAAGCGGTAATAGAACATCAATATTTTAAGTGGATATTTTACCAAAACCTAATTATAATACGTAAACAAATACTTACAATACGGAAAAATACAAAAATTATTAATACTAAAGCGTATTACGGAATTAGTTCAACATTTTGCCGATATGGTAGAATTACAACGTTCTTCGTTGCTGTAGTTGGCTCGACTGACATAGTATCTTAATTTACTAAAAAGGAAACGTTATATGTCGCATCCATTTTAATATAAGGCGTCTTAAAAAAATATCATGAAACATTTTAAGATAAATTTCAGTGAATAAACTCGTCCCTGCCATGTCAAATCGATTTTCAGCTTACCGTCTCTTGGAAAAACCATCGATGTTCCTAATTATGTTTACACACTGACCTAAAAAGGTCGTCGCTTAGTATACGATGTACACACTTACGATACCCCACTGCTTTTAGAAGTTAAAATTTGATAATTTTGAAAGATTAACATAATGTTATTAATATACAAGAAAATTTTTGGTCTTCAAATAGTTTATTTAGGTGCTGAACTGCGGGGATTGAACATCGACTTGATATTGTTAGAGCAACTTTGCAAAAATAAGACTATAATACGAAAAAAAATTGTTTACCGAGACATTATCGTCGACATTTGAAATAACCCGAGAACCTTGTCAACAATGGGCTCCATTGACAAAATGTTAAACTAATTTTGTGTTCCCGGGCGTCATAGCTTTTTCGAAAATTCACTAATTGCTAATCTACCCGTACAATTGTATTCGACAAACGACAAATGAGATATCTAACCGTTTCCCTTTCAGGGAACGGTGTTAAATTTAAACAACTATGGGAACGGAACCTAATTACCAAACAATTACCCCCACCCCAGTATAGGTGGCGGCAATCGTCAGGTCATTAATACGCATAGCAGTTGCAGATAATTGATAATCGAACTTTCAACCCCTAGGTGGGATCAAATGTAGCATTCGCTTAAATACTCGGAGTTAACTTCATAAAACTTTGAACTGTGAATTCTTCTTAATATAAGTTCTTCTTAATATAACAACTCTTAGGGTTTTTATTACTAGTTAGAAGACATTTAAGATATCTTATACATGGGTTTTGGTTTGGTACCAAAAACTAATACAAAATATTGTCTTTTTCGCATTTACTTCACAAGCTATGAATTTTTTGGGATAATGTCAGTGCATGAATGAAATTCGCTAACTGCCTATTCGATACAAATTGCGAAGGCTCTAATTAACATAATGCGGTGTTATTTGGCTCTTCCATCGCTTTGTAGTTGAACGATGGTATAAGTCGGGAAGACATGCAGGCAAGGCGGAGAGAGTGTTTAACTTCTAAAATTACATCGATTTTTTTTAAAAGATGACGTATTAAACCCACGAGGAACGCATGTCGTTTTTTTAACACCCCGGAATCAATAACTGCGTCATAAATAATAACTGTGTACGTTTGAGAACGTTTAAACATTTCGTGGGTATAATATAAATCCTCCTTTAAAATCGTTATTTCTCTAAACTTTAACGATGGGCGTATTTCAGAGAGCTGGGTGCAAAATAACGCAAAACTGCGTCGTATACGTACGTCACTGGTTTGATCGTTAATAACCGCACAGCAATATCTACAGTCAGCAAATATCGTTCGCAACTCCCTTGCGCGGAAAATGATAAAATAAGAGTAACAAGAGAGTCCCGAATTGGTAACGAATTTTTCCCGATTACGTTTTAAACTCCCCCCCGCGGACGACCGTGATGAAAAATGTAATAAAATCTCTATGAGGGCATAACGGTTATGAATTTTCTAAGCGTGCGATGGAAGTTTGTGCGATGAAAATTGAAAAGCGACTCAAAAACTTACCCTTGCCCTAGTATCTACCCCGCCGGCCACTCCGTCACTTATTAGAAATTCGTGGTGTCTGTACGCTAAATCGGGGTATTTTTTCCTTCTAGGCATCGCTGGTTCTTGCTTGGGCGCTACAACAAATATTTTGGTAACCATTTCGGTACCCATGCAAAAATCGTGTTATATTGCACGTGAGACATGAAAATGAAAAGACTGGCATGCACCACGTGTGGGAAAATTTTAAGCAAATTAATTTTCGTTCGAAAAACTCAAAAACAAAAAATCACTTTTAACAGAGAAAGAAGAATTTATCTGTTTCGAAGGAAAACAGTAAACAGTAACAGTAACAGAAAAAAGAAAACAACGAAGAGAAAATAGGAATCATCTGGACGAGGAAAATTAACTGGAGAATATCATAAAGATATGAAGGCTGATGTTTTTGAAGAAGAAAATTCGAAAAACATCCACGTCTGACATCATTCAGTGCCTTACTTTAAATAAAAAGCAATTTCAGAAAGATATACCCTATAAAATTGCTATGGGCGTAACTAAACGGGTTTGTAGTAAAGCATAACACCACTTTTCAAATGAGGGATGTTGAAACCCTCTCGCAAGAGGTAATAAAGACAGTGGATTATGAAGAATGGAGTAAAAACTGTTACATGTCGTAGAAATAGAAAAATGGATTCTAACGTGTACGGTTCACCTGACACTTGGAACATGAAAATTTGCGAAGGAAGATGTATATGTAAATAGTAGATTTTTTTAAATAATAATATTCTTCTATAAAAGTTGTTATTTACTTGATTTTAAAATAATGAATAAGTCAATTATCTGTCCATTTCCATAATTACAGTCATGTCTATTTAATATTTAAATAAATACCTGCAGTAACGAAGCGTCCGGCCCCCACATGAAAAAACCGGTAATTTTTTTTCCTTGGGGGGCAAGGTGGGGAAGTCGGGGGGGCTATCTCGGAAACGGTAGGAGTTGGGGGGTCGGGGTTCGCTTCGTCGGATTCAGAAAAAAATCTTGAGGAGGGGGCGACCTCAAAAAATCACTTTTGAGGAGGTCGTCATTTTGAGGTTTTTGGAGTTTTCCGGAGTTATTTGAGGTGTAGAGGGGCCCGAGGCGCACCGGAACCCTCAAAAAGGCCCCCCCTCAAAATTGAGGAGGTCTTGAGGTTCGGGAGGATCTCGTCTCCTATGGGACGGATCGAAAAACTGGGTACCTACGTCGACGCGCCGATACTCGGGCATCATTCTGAAGGCCCATGTCCTTTACCCCGTCTTTGCTTTTTTTTATGAGAGCGCCTCCTCAAAGTTGAAAAAGTTTGCTATCTCGGAGGTTTGCCGGCCGAATCGGTTCGAAATCGGCGTAGGGGGGTTTTTCGGGCCGGAAACGTCGAATCCACCCGATTTTGTGCCTTTGAAAAACGATCATTTTGAATAGCGCACACTAATAAAATCAAAAGAAAACTCAACAGTTGGACCTTATTGGCCTCGTTAGTTTGCGAAAACTAACTCGTACGAGAATTCAAATACGCTATCGTCTGCAACGGATCCAAAGAAATTCGCTCCATTTTTCAAATTTATGGCTCCGTTTAGAGCCAATTTTCAGTACTTCAGTTGCAAATTGGGTCGTTTGCGGAAAATTCATTTGGGTCATGTTTTATTTGAAATGGACTAGCTATAAATCGCAAACCACTGTAACAAACTCATTCATTACCAGGCAAACATGAATATTCGAGCTAATACACTAATTAACCATTTTAACCAATATTAATTATTTTCATGGCATGGGACTATATTTTGTATAGGGTGAGTGCACGGTAGAGTAATTTTTCAATATTTCATTGGTAAATACAAAAGTGGCAAAGATCGTTAGGATGCACAATTTTGTTTTGAATTTCTTTTAAAATTCTTCAACTTTTTTATTAATAATAATACATACCTAAACCTAATAGTTTTTCCAATATTTTAATTTTTCTAAAAAAATACTAGTTTTCACACAAAAAATTATGAGAACGCCATTATTGGGTATGTATTATTATTAATAAAAATAAGTTTTGAAAGGAATTCGAAACAAAATTAAAAGTAGGGTGTATTTAAAATTGTTTTATTTTAAGGTTGTCGAGGAAAACGCACGTTTTCGACGTAATCATAGCATTTCTTTATCTTCACAATATTTTTTTAATTACATTACATTTTTTTTGTCAACCAAATACTAGCACAATGCCGATCTCACTTGAAAGTGGTACGTCGGTCTCGAAATCATTTGGTCTGGTACTCTTGTGACTTCTTGATTGACACGTAGACAAGTTTAGGAAGCGTGGGAAACAAGAAACATCGCAGAAAGCAGATCTCTGCTTAGTGAAGCTACTTTAAGTATAAAGGGTAAGCTAAGAAACGCGGCACTATACAGAAACTGACACTTAACATTCGTTAAAAATACCAAATGAGTTTGAGAATAATGCACAACTTGCGAGACATCTGGCTGATATTAAAATCCGATATTAAAAATAAAAGATTATTTCTTAAAATTAAAGAATGTTGTGCTTATTTGAAGAACATGAGTTTTCGCTGCGTCACGTTGTATAACCTTTTTCTGTAGAATTCAATGCCATAGACGCTTAGATAGCAGAGGAAGCTCGCCGACACCGGCTACGATTACCAGGACTAGTCGATTTGCAGACGTTAATCCCATGGCATTCAGGATTTACATGGATACTGAAAACTAGACGCTGGCATCCTGCAGCTCAAGATTCTTAGGGCTCTATCGACCCATGAAATAACGAGGGCTGAACTTGATGGGACGAACGTGAAATTGGGAGTGCGTCGCAAGAGATCGATTGATCACATCGGAAAACCGACAAGACGGCCCACACATATTCGCTTTGCATTTTGGAAATTAAAATACCACGACCATTAAGTCAGACGCGACCCGGTTCTAAGGAAATACGGGCATTTTCAAGGCATGGGACAATAATTGAAAGGGGATCGTTTTTCAAAAAAACCGTATCGCGGGCGCGGCAAATTGATTTCATGGTGCAAGAAATATTCCAAGCACCTACATCGCGGTAACGGCCTCACGCAGATTGCGCTTTCTTGGAACTATAAACTTTAAGAAACAAGAGAAACGAAATGGACGTGGATGGAACAATTATTAAAGCAATCAGCGACACAATTGGCGCATTCATAAAACGATTTTTGTGTAACCTGATTTTAAGGGTTCATAGAATTTCCTATACGCTTTACGTTCGTACGCATTAATGTTGCGATTACCGCACGCGAGTTTTATTACCTAGCCGGTAATAAAATATTGGGCCCGCACATTTTCCATTGTGTACATACGGGAGATTTTAAAAAGCCAAATTGGACATGGACGCTGGGCGTGTGGGGACCTTTCAGGAATTAAAATTAAAATAATGCGCCGTGACCGGCTTTGTTGGTTGCTTAAAGAAAAACGAGACGAACGTCGATGAACGGGTGGGAAAAGAAATAATATCAACGGTTTGGCTCTTGTTCCGAGAACGTGCTCTTAAACGAACAAAAAAATGACAGAAATACTTGCGCCAATTAGTGAATCGAAGCGTTTACTTGGATATTGTGTAGTTCGGTGAGGCTTCCAGATTATCTCGCAGGGTAATATTCTCCCTGTCGAGAAACGGGATACGCTAATCGCGAGATTAGCTTTCCCAAGTCTTTTGTTTTTATTTACAGGGATGCGTTACGTTTTCTGATAGAGGGCAATAATATTTGCCTTAATTCTGATGAATTTTAGACTTGTGCCAAGTTTTAACAGATTACGACTTCACTACTTGTCGATTGAACCAACATGTAAGTCCTCCGATGAAGATGGGTTAGCATCTTCGATCATTTTACTAATTTTCTAACATGTACCGATAATACGTCCGTTAGTACTTTGACAGTTATTCAGAAAATTGCTCCTAGATTATATTTTGTCACCCTTCAGAGAAAAAATACCTATTATTATTATAGCACCAGGCAAATTACGATTTCACCACTTATCGGTTGAGTGAACTGTAATTGTAAATGTTCTCATGAAGATGAGTTATCATCTCGTCATTTTTTAAAAATTATACTGAGGATAATTTAATTTTTATCCTAGAATTCACTTATAGTTAAGTACACAATATTTTAACTAACACCGATAATATATACACCTATATAGAGTATATTTTGTAAAGCAACAAAAGTAACGATAGATATAAAGTGTCAGACTTCTGTGTGGGGTGGGAGGTGAAACCTTTATAATTTTTTATGATATTATTGTTGTTCTTTATTATTAATATGTTATTTATTATTTATGCAATTTAGTCTGGCAATTCTTGAACGAAAACAATGAGCCTCGAAAATTTCCTTACCTCCTATGAGCAAATAGTGAAGACGAAATATTGTCTATCCTAAATCCGCAATTCAGCAGTAAATTTTCACGGCTGGCTTTTGAACATTTGATTCGATTTATAAAGGAATTTCCATTTCCATCTCCATTACAAGGAAACGCAAATTGCGATTCAAAAAATTGGCGTAATACATTATCAATAAATAAAAAAATGTTAGTATCATTTTCAAGGAATGATTAAAAGGGTATGCAATAAACTGAAACAAATTAGGAGGAAGTTATGTTAGAGGAAAATGTTAGTTGATGCTGATACGTGCAGCGATAACAACTGGAATGGTGTAATGACGAGAAATTTAAATTTAAACCTAAGCAAATCGAAATAAATTACTAAACCGACTGGATTAGAACAATCCTGCACACTCCTATAATCACATAATACAATTTCCGAGTTATTAAACAGATGGAAAAGGCGCCGAAATGTATCTACGATCTGACGTAGCAAAGCTGTCGTTCTGTCGAGGACGGCTGAGAAATTTTTTCTCGAATCACGGGACTACACAAGACAACGTACCGGAATCAGTTTGGAAGTCATCTTCGGCGGTATTCTTAGAGTTATGATCGTTCGCTAGACCAGCTGCTGGCACCGCATTGGCTTGTGGAGGTCTCCTCACTACTTCTTGCCTGGGCCCAGTATACTCATGCCATCGGTAAGTACTCCGATATTCGGAGTGAAGCTGTAACAATAATTTCAACCGTACAAAATGGTCAAATTCATTTTTGATTAGAAGGCGTTTTAATTTCTAACCTATTAATGCGGTAAAGAGTGAACATAATGAAGAACGGTAAGTTTTCGGCAAACGGGTTACCTTATCGACGGGCATCGAGGGACAAGCTCTACACAAATTCCAGAATGAGCCAATCATTAGGTTTCAGTAATTAAACACCCGGGTTTTTTTTGTTTGTGGCTCAGAAGCCATACACTGACGTGGAGTCTGTTAGTATGATTACTGTCAACGGAATTATCGTACTAAACGCGGCCACTGCGGGTGTACAGTTACAATATTTATTCAGTTAGGGCCGTATCGGTTGTTGCAGCGAACATTACCATGCCCCACCTTGTGCAGATAACTATCTGCTGTCCGACTGTACAACGTCCTCATCGTAGGTTTAAACCGAATCAATATAGAGGCGCCTGCTCTATCGCTATATGCGCCAGTTGGGCACTGGACATATCCCACTTTTCTTCACCCTCAGTATTACGCAACTCGGAGTTTGGCACTTGTGCCATTCATAAATTAGGGAAATTCCTTCTTTGGTTGTTGGATGCGGTGTTTTTTTACCTTATTTACAGTGTTGCTGCCTAGATACCGAAGGTTTTGTAGCAGTGTGCATTTCAAGTTGCTTGTTTTCCGCACTAGTTTAACACCAATGCAGAAATACCACATCTCATCGTAGGTTTAGTATGAGCCACTGGGGATTTTGCTTGCATTCATATTTAAAACTTTTTTAAAGCTTTATTTCTTCAATTCGAGTATATTCGAGTTGCCGGTTAAGCATTTAGGTTTATCAAAATAATACGGAAATAAAAAATAAAATAGTGATATAGAGATTGCAGAACAAAAGAACATCGGTCAAAAACCTTCAAAATAAACAATGACGATTATAACTCCCACTTTTTCTATTACAAAGCAAACACTGATACTAGTTGCAAAATTTTTACTTAGAAAACAACAAAAACGTCTCTATTTTCCGAAATCGGGGAAAATCTGAAAGCTGAGAAGCTGATTTTTTCCGCAAGGTTTCTACAACAAATTAATTTAATTCGAGTATATTGCTGATCGTTGATAAAAATAATAGCGAAATTAAGAAAAAATAATATAAAGATTGCATTAAAAGATTACATTAAAAAAACTTATCATTTTTCTTGAGATGCCGGGAAAATTGGAAAACTGAGAAGGCAGTTGGTTTCCAATCACTACAAAAATAATACACCCAGTATTTGGTGATTTTTTTCTGCAAACTTTCTATAACAAATTAATTTAATTAGAGAATAATGTTACCTGTTGAGTTATTCGCTGAGAAAAATAATACAGAAATAACAAAAATAATGACATAGGGATGGCAGAAAAAGAGAACATCGGGCAAAAAATATACAATAAATCCTAAAACCAAACCCATCATTTTTCTATAAAGAAGCAAACGATGATATTAGGTAAAACGTTTTAAATTAAATGAATAAAAATTTATCGATTTTCTTAAGATATAGACGAAATTTCAAATACTGTTAATGTTTGGTGATTCTTTCTGCTTATTTCCAGCTCTAATTACAGGCAATGGTTGTTCTCAACTGAGGTTTTGCCAGAATTGGAATCATATGCTTTCGCAGTGAAATAAACATTATTTTCTCGAGCTAAATATATTAAAACACGTATGTCTTAGCTTAAACAGTAACGGCGTTTAAACTACGATGACGGCATGTTTCGTGGCAATAAACAATTATTTTTTTAACATGTTCCGTCGACCATAGAAAACATCGGCATTGCTGCGTAAGTGTTTGAAAACTTGGACACAGTTACAATAACTGTTATTAAAAATCCAAAGCACTGTTTGGACAAAAAGAGCTATCGCCGTACATTATAGTAAATATAAAACAATGATTTTTTTTACTCACCGCCATTGCCTGTCGGTCTGCATTGGATGCGGGCAATAGTTTCACGAAATAAGCCGCCTAATTGCTCGAAACGTTTTCAACACATCCGAGGTCAAAGTTCAGGGAACTAAACGTTTTCCGTCCTTCTTTTTTCCCGGCATCTCGTCGTGAAAATGTCTACATCGATGAGAGTAGACAAATTAACATGAAAATTTATAACAGTGTATCGCTGGCTCGCGGTCCCGATCCCACTGTTTTGTTTTTGCTAAATTTTACACTTTTCTTATTGCGTGGTGGGATTGCTTGATCGTTGGTTTGATCCAAAAAACAAGGTAATTCAGTTTGTATTGCGAAAAACATATGATAGATAATTTTTGTAGATGGAAAATGTAACATTATTTTCAAGAGATATTCAATTTTAATCGACTATGGGAAATCCAAAATTCTTTTTGCGTGAGGATAAGGGTATCTCCCGATCGGGGAAAAACTTAGAAAATTATTTTCAAGATTAAAAGTTTACGGCAACAAAGAAGTTATTTATTAAGAAGAAAATTAATGAATATAATTTAATGATTTATCATTTAACAAATATTTAGCATTATGCTTCATGCTTCAAAAATACAAAATATAAATTCTAAATATAAAATTCTAGATAAACGGAAACCAAAAGCTAAGCACACAGAAATCAAAATTTGGACAATACATGACATCTTAAAAGTCTTTTAAATTTATTAAGGGTATCAAAGTCTTTAATATCATGCGGTAAAGTATTAAAATGGTTTAGGCCTTTATGTAATATAGAGTTTTCTACACTATAATAATATTCTCTCAACATAAAATTACCACAATTCCTTGTATTGTAAGAATGAATATCTTCTTCACAAACGTAATTGGGAACACACTGCTGTTTAATTTTGAAAATAAATACATAGACATTAAATATTACTTTTTGTTTTACAAACAAGAAATCAAGAACACCCAACATGCTTTGAATTGGCGTATATCTGTTACACTGTAGTATATTTTTCATGGCCCTATTTTGAACAATATGCAATTGCTCTAATTTATAATTAGAATGTGTGGAACAACAATCTAACTGGGGAGTAGCGAGGCTGGTATACAATAAGATTTTGGTGTGAATTGACAAAATTTTACCTATTCCAGATATAAAATTAATCTTTTTAGAAAATTTATTCATTATATAAGCGGCATCTGTATGACACGCCAAATTTTTTTGTTGTTAATATAAATGTTTACATCGAAACTTAATTTACTTAATTTATGACGTTTACCAAAAGTACAAAACTTTGACTTGTCCGTGTTTATACAAAGGTTATTATTGCACAGCCTTTCGAAAGCGTTCTTCTGATCAGCATTCAGTTTCTTTGCATTTCATCCACATTTTCACCCACAATAAAAATCATAGTGTCGTCCGCAAATAATACCGCTTTAGTATCCTCTAAAATATTTACAATATCGTTTATATACATAAGAAACAACAATGGTCCCAAAACTGTCCCCTGAGGAACACCATGGTCTACAGTTATGCAATCAGATATGCAATTTTTATATTTCGTTTTTTGTACCCTATTTGTTAAATACGAACAAAGCCATTTATACGCTGTTCCCTTAATACCCATTTCGTACAATTTTCTTAACCGTCTAGTTCTACTTATTGTTTCGAAAGCAAGCTTAAAATCCAAAAATACAGCCCAAACAAATTTACCACCAATTATAAGTAATTTGGAGGTTATTTTGGTAGTAGTGAAACGTTTTTATTTTGTATCAATGATAAAAATTGTAAAAATATAATACATATTATTAATAATGGGGAAGCTATTTTTGAACTCTTCGAAAACCATTTATTTATTTATTTATTTATTTATTACAAAGGTGCCCTAACATGAAGAACTAACTTCACAATTTACAAGGACACACTAACAATTATACCATTATTTAATTAACAAAGTAAAACTTATAAGTAAGTACCTACCTATATCTACGATAAGCAGAAGATAAAAAAAAAAATAATAATAACAATCAAACTTACCATACTAAACCAAAACTAACACTGTATATTAAGTGCGTGAATTACAAAAAACAAATGTGAAAAAATAAGGAAAACAAATCAAAAATTAAAATAAATTTATAGAAAAACCCTAATTGCTTGATTTCGAAACGAATTAAGTGATAACGCAAAGATGTCAATGTGCGAAAAATAATTATTGTAATGTCTATGTAAAAGAGATATTGGGGAATTGTTACCTAAGTTTGTATTAAATCTAGGCACGTAAAATAATGAAGGAGTTCTTGTTATAGCGACTCTGGCATTGAAGGAGAGTTTTTCCAACAGTAAAGGACAGTCAATCCTACTATTAATAATATTATGCAAAAATATAGCACTGGAGCTAATTCTTCTAACAGATAACTTCAGTATATGGTAGAAATTAAGACTAGCTTCATACGAATGAGTTAGTAAGTTACGGTTAAATCTAAAATTTAAATGGAAAACAAACTTTTTTTGTATTCTCTCGATTCTGTCTATATATTTATGATACTGAGGACTCCATATCACACGGCCATAGTCAAGGTGAGATCGAACGTAGGAATTGTATAGAATAATAAGCGATTTCTGATCCTGAAATTCCTTGCTAACTCTTAATATAAAACCTAAATTTTTATAAGCTTTTTTTACTAGATTCTCAATGTGGATATCAAAACTTAATTTTACATCTATAGTTATTCCAAGATCCCTAATCTGCTCTACTTTTTTTATTTTTACACCATTGAATGTGTAGTCAAAGTTTATATCATTTATCCGCCTGCTGAACTTAAGACAGTAACATTTATCAATATTTAAAAATAGACGATTTTTTACACAGTATTCATAAAAACGATCTGCGTATGATGCTGATTTAGCAAAGAGAAAACACTTACTGACATCTGCGATAAAGAGTGAAAATAACAATGGTCCCAAATGGGACCCTTGAGGAATTCCAGATGTGATGCGGGTCGTTTAGGATTTTGCAGAATTCAATTCTACAAACTGAGTCCGAGGACTGATGTAGGATTGAAGAATTTTGTAAAGACCATGAAAATGATACTATAGAATTGAAATTATGCAAAAAAAAAATCTCACAAAATTTTACCGTTTACAGTTTTACAGTTCATTTTTCGTAAATTAATAGACCCAAAAATTTCCAAATGCGACCCTGTCGGTCTACTGAAGTGGCCAGTCAATAATTTAAATTTTAGATATCACAACAGCAGATAACCTGCCCGAGGTTGCCTGTACCGAAAATGTTATTTTTCGCGTTCCATTAAAATCGAAAAGTTTGCGTTCGAATTTTAGGCACAGACGCTTAAAATGAATAACCGTAAGGAAGGAATCTTTGAACACATTTTGATACACTACCGATGGGTTTTCGTGTGTTTATTCCTCTTACCGATATCTTTTTTGTTCGATGTTTGGCTTTACTTCAGGAATTGGATTGTGTTTAAACTGATCAGTGCCCCGAAACAGCACGAACGCAAGATCAAATATGTTCAAAAGCAGGTAAGTAGGCAGTTGCTAATAATTTATTTAGATAGACTGTTTTTTCTGAAGGTGCACATTTGTGAGCTACTTTTTAATGAAATAAAAGTTTTCCGATTCAAACTTTTCACGTTTTTGACATAACTATATATTTATTTTATTATTATAACTTGTCCAAGAAAAATGTGTTAGGTAATAACAAAAATACCAGGTTGGCAAAAAATGTTAAATTGAACACCCTGTGTATTCACTTTCCTACGCTCGAAACAAAATGAAACTGTGCTGCACCAGCGTCGTCCGCGTATATTTTCAGGTGCGGGATTGGAGCGACGAAGGTAAAAAGACCAAAATGTGTACCGCAAGACCGGGGTGGCAAACGGTGTGTTTTCGAAGGCCCGTTTACAAAAACACCATGAAAAAAATCGAAGTAAATTTGGTCGACATATTGGAGATCGATACGATAAAAGAGACCGTACGGGTGGAGCCGTTAGTCACGATGGGTCAGTTGACGGCAACTTTGAACCCTTTAGGATGGACCATACCAGTCTTACCAGAAATAGACGACCTAACGGTGGGAGGGCTCGTAATGGGTACGGGGATAGAATCGTCATCCCACAAATACGGATTATTTCAACACATTTGCCGGTCGTACGAAATGGTACTGAGCGATGGCACGCTGGTTAAATGCACCCAAGAAGACAACTCCGATTTGTTTTATGCGGTGCCGTGGTCTTATGGGACGCTGGGTATACTAACGGCGGTCGAAATTCAGATGATACCCGCGAAAAAATACGTGAAATTGACGTATAATCCCGTCAAGGGGGCTGATAATATTGCTAAACAATTTACAGAAGCCAGTCGAAATCTTGACAACGAATTTGTAGAAGCGTTGGGCTATAATGAGGACGAAGCTGTCATTATGACTGGAGTACAAACAGATATCCCGGATAACGATAAAGTGAGTTGAATTTACGGGGCGGTCGGATACATTGTCCACATTTTACTGTGTTTTTTTCCTGTTGGCTGACTTTGGTTTGTTCACACAAAACTTGAATTGAAATTAATAATTGCTTAAATGAAGAATATTCAAAAATGTATTTAACGGTTAAACTTAGTTTATTAATGCGAGAGAGTAGTACAATGTAAATTTGCAATGACAACGATCATTAAACAAGCTGGCCAACATAAAGATTATGGTCTGAGGTGAAAGTACAAACCAAAGAGACTATGAAACATATAAAGAGTTGGTATGATAAAAATTACTTAACACTGAACGTTGATAAGTCAAGAAAGTTGACTTTTCAATTTCATCTCTATATCTATAAATCTTATCAACTTAGACAGGTTATGACTACAATGCTAAATCACTACTTGCATAGAGATTTTCAAAATATATCAAAAATACTTGCACAAAGCAACATAAAATATAACGAGACGCGCACAAAATAATAATGTATTATTCGAAATGAAAGACTATCTAAATGGCAAAAATAGATTTTTTAAGAATTTAAGATTTAAGAATAAAATATTTCATTAAATGAAAATAAACTCAAGTAGTCGCTAATAAAAAATAAAACAACTTGGTTCTGTGCTTAGTACGAATTGTATAGCCACTGCCTATTATTGTTACACGTTCTTTCCACTCACTTCATTTATATCTCTTATAGCTAGTAATCCTTACATGTTATAATATTTAAAACAAAAAATAATTTAGGTTACAGCCTGTTAGATTTAGGAATTTACAAAAATATTTTCAGCACCATGTTAAGTGCACTCAGAGATTGTGAAGGGAAGGTTATATTGTAATTAATAATATGAAAACAGAAACATATTTTAACAACGGTATATCCTTCATTTGCCCAAGTCTCGTTCAGATAATACATATTCCTCTTTTCCCTTCAGGACTCCCTCAAATAACGTCGTCGGCATCAGATAGTTTCCTCTTTCTCTATTAAAAATGATTTTGAGTTTGTTCGTAACGAAAATTCATCTCCTTCAAAGTTTCGACTCATGGGTGGAATGAAATCATCCGTTTACGTTTCGGACACTATTTTGTCAATGGAAGATATTACTTTTTTTTATGCAAAACGAGAAAATAGCGTAGCGTAGCGGAACAGATCAAATTTTCAACAAATAAAAACCTTTCAAAACCAGTAGTAAGAAGTATACCTGAGTATACTTCAGTGGTCTGGTCCCCCCTTAAATAAAAATATACTGGAGAAATAGAAAAAATTTAGAAGAAATTTTTACACTGTTAAATTTTACTTCAAGAATTTCGTTATGAAACACTAAAACCAAGACGGAAGAAAACTGCATTAACTTTGTTTTTTAAAATAGTTTATCATAAAATTGATCGTTCTTTTTTAACCCCTATTTCACAAATTGAAGTATTTAAATAGATTCCGTACCAACGTTGGTGTTAAATCTGCACTATTCCGAATGCGTAACTTAGCGAACAGTCTAAAAAACGAAATGGACATTAAAAATTGTACTTCCACTAATTCATTCAAAAAACAATTGAAAAAAATTAGCATTTAAAACCTAATATATTGTATTAAGTGTAATTGTCACTTTTTTGTGTTTTGTGTATTTTGATTTATACAAAGAATTTTGTTTCGTTTTTCTCTCCTTCGATTAATGTAAAGAAGATTTGTGTTTTTGATAAACAATGACGATTACTAAATATGAGATTCATGTTGACATAACCTCATTGATAACAGCTGGTTTTCTAAGTAAGTTGCAAGCTTAAGACCACCGACAAATATTCGTTTGTCCATATTTATTACTGTTTGTTTTCTTCCTATACTTCACTTTGATGACCCGATGGAACCGCCTTTAGTTGTAAGTTTTACAGTTCAATAATGATTTATAACTCGCTAAGAAACAGAGCATAGTGTCAGATCGAATTTCGACAATAATATTTCAAACTATTGGACTGTTTTCGCAAGGCCCGCCGTAACATTTTAATTTTTAATTAGTTCGTTTGCTGCAGATCAACTCGATCGGTAATTGGTACAAACCGTGGTTTTTCGTGCACGTAAAAGCAATCTTGGATAAAAATAGGCAAGTAACGGAATATATACCCCTCAGAGAATACTACCACAGACACACGAGATCGATTTTCTGGGAGTTACAGGTAAAGGAAAAATATATTTCTGCGTCAATTTTTCGCACATACGAGAATTGAATTTAAAAATAAAGCAGACTGCGACTATCCGTTAACGTTATTTTTGGCAACGAAACATATTTAAATCTGTGTGAGAGGCGTATGGTAAAATACAGTTTCGAGCATATCATAAATTTTAATTGTGGGGCATTTCGCGTGGCCGTTAGTGGCAATTTGTCACTGCGACGACTGACGATAAACTAATGAAGTTTTGGCAATTTCCTTGGCGCCCAACCATTAATTTCCGGTTAAACTCTCGCTTAATATTTACTCGAATACCTTTCCGATTATGCTTAAACCGGAGGAGGTGCGGAAGTTTACAGCAAGATAATTTTTTTGACCCACGATAAAATCATTCCAGGACATAATCCCATTTGGGAACAACGTTGCGTTCCGATGGTTATTGGGATGGATGATGCCTCCGAAAATTTCCCTGCTAAAGTTGACTCAAACCGAAGCCGTAAAAAAATTGTACGAAAACAATCACGTGATTCAAGATATGCTCGTTCCGATAGAAACCATGAAAGATAGCGTTAGAGTATTTAAAGACAATGTGGACGTATTTCCCATATGGTTGTGTCCATTTATTCTTCCGGCTAACCCCGGTATGGTGCATCCGCATGGATACGAGGCAAAATTGTATATCGACATCGGACTGTACGGAGTACCAAGAGTGAAGAAGTTTTCCCCAAAGGAAACGATGAGGAAAATTGAAAAATATGTCACCGACGTACATGGGTAAGGAGACTATTAGGATGATATTTTACAAAAAATGTAAATTATCTTATCTTATCACAGTTTTCTTACTGTGACAAAATTCTGACGCGCACATATACAGGGCTCTTCAAAGAAACTTAGCAAAACGTCGACAGGTTTTATTTATCAATAATTGACGTAGGAGGAATCCCAAAGATTTTTAAAAACCATATACAGGGTGTCTAAAAAAGAAGCGGCATTGTTTAACGGCCGATTTGACAGATCATTTTATGAAAAAAGTTCCCATAAATGTAGGTCCGGAAATGCAGTGTTTCCAAGATGGAGGATGTTTTTTTTATTGCAACGAAAATTTAACCACAGGCTAAGGAGATGATGCACTACCAATCAGTTTGTCAGATGCGCCTCAGTTTATACAGGGTGTCCCAAATAGGTGGTGCCGTTTTGGCGAATTCAATTAACAAAATCTCAAGATTTTCAAATGCAACACACTATATTTTTATTTTCTAGGACCAAAAATTTACTTACTTTTTGAGATATTCGAGGTTTAAGATAACACCCGTGTATATTCTTGTTGAATTTAAATCTTTTTTTCATTCAGAAGATTCGAGTCTAGCCTTGAGCATTTACCTGGGAGAGAAAATGTACTACTTATTCCACACCTGTGAACAAGCAGCTTATGAACACTACTAGGGACGTAGTACCATATAGGCTAATGTATAGTTCTCTCGTTTTCCTACAACTATAGTGAGACCACTTGACAGCACTCAAAAGAACAACAAAATAATGTGTTGCCATCGTTTTCGATTTAAAGTCCTCTTGATATTAAAAAAAATATGCTTATTACTTCATTTGCTCCATTGCCTTTTAGTAGCCAAGATTTTACTGGTAGCCGATAGGTTAGGTGCAAAAGGCATTCGAAAAACCGAATCCAACAGTGTAGGGTGGACAACCAAAGCGATAGTTTTTCACATTAGATACTCATTCAAGACATTTCTTGTATTCTTGTCCTTTTTCGGCATTTGTATCAGATGGAACTTTGTTTACACTTCCATACATTATAGATGCAATTCAAATACGTGAGATGAAGATTTGTTTGAAATTTGCAAAAGTAAAGGACCTAAGATCTCGAACTAATGCTGGCTACAACCCAATTAGAAAGGAACCTGGTATTTTTGACCGAGTTCGCGGGTCCAGGAGGAGAAGATTGGATTCCTGTATCCGAATTTAAGGTAGTCACCTTCAACAGTTTTTGTAATTTTTTTTACCCTAAATATTAACTTATTCTTAGTCGATTGTTTGCAAATATTATTGGAACGTAAAAAAATATTTTTATGATATATGGACATTATCCTGAAAAAAAATTCATGAGCCAAACAAAGTCCGCCCCCCCCCTAACATCGCCATTTAATTTTTATTTAGTTAGGACCAAATCAGCCCCTTATCTCAAGAAACCACACTGACTAAATTTCAAACAAATCCTTGTTGTTTTATTTAAACAAAAAAACTTTAACAACCTGTATCTTGGAACAATGCATTTCCGGACCTACATTTATGGGATTTTTTTTTCATAAAGTGATCTGCGGAATAACCTTGAATATTGGCGCGCCATTTTTTACACCTCTAGATAAAATTTTCCCTTGTATATCATATTATTATATTATGCGCAAATTACACAGGGTGTCGATCCATAAGCATTTTAACAGTGCCAAGCGTCAATTTTTTTCCGATATTATGCCCTGACCCTTTACCATTATCTCTGCTTTTATGTTATACGTTTTGCTCTCTACTTTTTCCGTTTTATCCAAACTTGTTTGATGTAAACAACGGTTTCAGTTTCTTTTTGGAACTGATCAAATTTAACTTGTCTTCAGTTCCATTTTGCGGGTATGATTTGAACTCGATATGTGACAATTTAGTTTATTTTCTGCAAATAAACCTATTCTTATTAGAGAAAAAATTCGTATCCTTGACACATCTAAGAAGCTACATAATATATATATATATATATATATATATATATATATATATATATATATATATATATATATATATATATATATATATATATATATATATGTATATATATATATATATATATATATATATATATATATATATATATATATATATATATATATATATATATATATTCTCACGTATTGATTCACGGATGGAAAAATGTGATGACACTATATTCCGGGATATCATCCGTTCGCTCGTTGAACTCCGACTGGAATCCTGCATCCGACCGGAATCCTGCAATTCTTGCATCCGACTTATTCCGAGGGAAAAATCGAGTCGTTGCCCAAAATTCTACGGGCTCCCAAAGATCCATAAGGACGGGGTTCCCCTGCGTCCAATCGTAAGCGCCTTTAACTCACCATTATGCAAGCTGGAAAAACATCTGGCCAGTGCACTTCAGCCTATAGTGGAAAAGGCAGATTCCTATGTTAAAAACTCAGAACATTTCACTCAGATTTTAGGTTCTCTCAGGATGGACAAGGACGACATTATGGCAAGTTTCGATGTCAAATCCCTCTACCCGAGTATTCCAGTAGAAGAGGCACTCTTGCTTATAGAAGAAAACGAAGATCTTCCGCCATACATAATGGATCTGTCAAGACATTGCCTGAAAAACGCTTACTTTATGCACAACGGGAAAATTTACCGACAAATAGATGGAGCAGCAATGGGATCATCTCTCTCACCTGTGATTGCCAACCTCTTCATGATTTACTTCGAAAAGAAAGCAATAGAGAAGGCAAATCTGAAGCCAAAACTATGGACAAGATACGTTGATGACGTATTTGTTGTATGGCCTTTTGGCAAGGAGGAGCTTTTGAAATTCCTAGATCATCTGAATTCCATTCACCCAAGGATTCAATTTACAATAGAACTTGAAGAGGATAACAGTCTGCCCTTTTTAGATGTGCACATCACAAGGACCGAAGATGGACACTTGGAACACACTGTCTATAGAAAACCAACACACACTAATAGATATCTGAACGCTAAATCTCATCACCACCCATCACAGATACAGGCAGTGGCAAATACATTAATTGCTCGGTCCTTCAGGCTCACAAACGAGAGGAACAGAGATAAAGAACTGAAGAAAATTAGTACCTGTCTTCAACAAAACGGATACCAAAGGCGCACCATCAACAAGGCAATCAATAAACAACAACAGCCGCAGCAGAGAGTGCAGGACGAGACCCAACGAAGATCGATCGCTGTCCTGCCATACATCAAGGGGGTTACTGACAAAATCGGCCGAATATTACGGAAACACGACATATCAACGGCATACAAACCTGACCATACCATCGGAGCAATACTAAGAAACCCAAAACAAAAAATTACTCTGGAAAACCAAGGAGTATACAGTGTAGCATGCGGATCGTGCAGCCTGACGTATGTGGGACAGACCAACAGAAGGATTTCAGCCAGGCTCGAGGAACATCGTTTAGCCATAAGAAACAAACAAACAACATCTGCTTTGTTTCAGCACCAACATCAGACAGGCCATAAAATTGATTTCGGCACTTGCAAACAAATAGCTAATATTCCCGATTTTAGGACTAGGATTATACGAGAGGCCATCGAAATAGAAAAGTCCGGACACCTCAATACGAGAGACGACGCTCTGCATTTATCCAACACGTGGAGAACGATAATCAAACAGCAGAGCGATGCGCAGCAGCCAACGGGGACATCGCAACTACGATCGGGCGAAATTAACAACGCGACAATTCAGGGGGCGGAGCCACCTCCCCCCACGCACAAGCAGCACCGTTACCATCTCCGGCGCAGAGTATAAATACCACACGCACCGCCGATAACCTCCCAGTGTTCGAAGTGTTTTCGGAGCGCGAGCATCGAAGATGCCAAGTGAGATTTTGGCGAAACGTCTGCAGGATTCCAGTCGGATGCAAGAATTGCAGGATTCCAGTCGGAGTTCAACGAGCGAACGGATGATATCCCGGAATATATATATATATATATATATATATATATATATATATATATATATATATATATATATATATATATATATATATATATATATATATATTAATATTTTTCTTTATTTTAATGAAAATTGATGTGCAGATGTTTTTTGTTCGGTAATTTCAGAAAAAAAATGAGACTCGACAAGAACGTAAGGAAAAACACTTGAATGAAATCTAAGAAAATCAATCACTGTTAAAATGTAGTATTGTATTGCATAGATGGATTGAATTCGCTAGAAATTTCGTCGATCTATTGAAAGTTTTTCGAAGCAGAACGTAGGAAATTAAGAAACTGCACATTGAAAGGCGAAACGAATTATAAAGCACTTGCTGCGTATTGAATAATATAAATTAAAACTTTTAACCCAAATATTTAAACGACATTCTCTTTGAAATTGTTTTTTTGACTACTGCAAAGGCAATTCAAACGCTATTCTCCTCTCGCTTTACAAATAGAAATTCACCATATTTATAATTGTTATAATCACTTCCTAATAATCAGCGCAATTTATCAGCGTATAATTATAGCCTTTTATGCATCCGCTAAAGGAAAACTTCTTTGTTTAGCTTCCAAATGTTGTACGCGGATACGTACATGACGAAAGAAGAGTTCAGAAAAATGTTTGACCACAGTCTCTATGACAAATTAAGAGAAAGATTAAACTGTAAAGAGGCATTCCCGGACGTTTATGATAAAGTATCTAGAGCAGCCAGGGCATAAACTTTCCTCTCCGAAAATCCACCATATAATATTCCAATTTTATTTTTATACAAAATAAGCAAACGTCTTGCGGCGCGACATGCATTGTGATTTTTCTTTGTATCGTTCGAAGGTCATTGTAACATAACAATATACGAGAATCTACACCTACTTCTGTGTTTTTCTTCTCTACACTCGTTCTTTTCTTATTTTGTACGCGAGGTACGTCAATGTAAATTACCTTTTTTGTGTTTGAAAAGTGAAGGGGTGATTCCTTGTTTAAGATAAGGGGTAGTTAAAATAATATTATTATTATAAAATACACTTTCTGCATATTTTGTCAAGTTTTTTTGCCCAACCCCTACCATTCTTCCTTACTACGCAATGACATGGAAATAACTAAACTTTGATACTCAGGCTCATTTGGAACCTTCCTTGTGCTTGGGTTTTTCATGAAACCTACGGTAATTATTGGATGTAAATCTAGTCTTTGAGATTTTTGATTTTGATATTACTATTGCCAGTTTTTTAAAAAACACATGGATTTAAGTATTTATTACAAAAACTAGATTTACAAACATTAATTATTTGTCACTTCAAATTTTCCAGAATTAAATTGATTGAGTCAGTGAGAATTACAGCTATATATTTGGCTAACGAGAATCTAATTTTTATTTTTACCAAGAATATATTTATTTTTTCATTTTTGTCCTTTATCACAACTAATATCAAAAACTGGATGTCATTTCAGGAATCGACACATTAAAAACATCTAAAATCGATTTTTGGATTTCCGGTATTTATTTTCTTTTTCATTTTGCTACCCCTTTATTTTGAACAAGGATCACCCCCTCAACTTTTTGGCAATTGTTTCGAAACATCCCGTATATTCGACCCGTATCCGTCCCCAGGTAACATTCTTTGCGGACTGAATTCTTTTTTCTAATTCGAGTTTTGCGTATTCCATATCCGCCCTTTTCATACTATTGTTACACGAACCGAAATATTTGCTTTTTGAAATTGAAAGGAAAACGAATTCGTATATACGCTGCCTAAATGCGATTATAAACCGGCTTGGAAGTTCAGAGGAGTTTGCCGATTACGCAAACAATTTTATCCCGTCAAAAAAACAAATATCCAAATTAGTACCACGCAGCCCCGGACGAGAAAATTGGAACACAAAAAAAAAGCTTATTGTATATAAGCGTTCAAATATTTGCCCAAGCTCGATACTTCCACCCGTAAGGTAAATGTTAGTTTTTCTCAGAGCCGTAAACTACACGCACCGGCTAAACAATTGCCTAATTTTGATGTAAGGCAAAGAAGTAACCATCATCTTCCCGGCTATATGGTTTTTGTTTCGGTCGCTGGTTAAGAGATATTCCACCACCACCATACACTAGCCGACGCAAAAATCGTCTCAGTTTTCAAGATCGACTGGTGGCATTTCATTCGAAAATTATTTTTTGTCTATCCTCGAAAGGTGCATAATCGATATGACGAATTGGGAGTGTAGTAAAAGTTTTTAAATAAACGGGTTGAGCTTCGGAATGGATTATTATTTTGTCGCGTAGTGTATAAGTACGACTATCTTGGATCGCTTCACTCGTCTTAAGGAACTAAAATAACTATTCCACGGTTAAAGCTTTGCGGTTGTTGAAATAAGAAATGGATAACACTTCGAGAACTCTTATTAAAATTTTTTATTCGCCCATTGGCGGCGGGGAAATTAACAATTTATAGTTTTTGTAGTTTGTTTAATAACAAAACCACGTAAATAAATCGCGATTCATTTTAAATTCGATTTGATGAAAAGGATAAATTTTCTATTAGTACATTTATTATATAAACTGTCGCACAACTTTATAATATAATACAGGGTGGTTCATCATAGGCCAATGATAGATGGAACTGTTTCTTTGAAGCTCACACAATATCGATTTCAATCTTCAGTTGAAGCGTTGTTGTTTTCGACATATCGATATGAATATTAGAGAATTTTGACCCAAGGCGCTTACTGTAATTTCATATGAAACACAACAAACAAGTCGGATACTACGCACATGAACTTTCGTTTCAAGAGGCTGGCGTTGAAGAATTCAAAGGCCGATTCCCCTGACAAGCAAGTCGCGAACATCTTCTACCTGATCGACGAATTTGCTCTATTATTATATATACAGGGGCGTAGAAAATCGACCTGAGATGATTCACGCTTTCTAATTGGGTATACCTAATGAGTTTATACGCTACTGCCTTTTTGTTTGATAAAATTAATAGTGTCTGTGCTTTGCGTTGTTTTTGGCAATCAGGAGATAATTAAACGGTGTAGAAAATTGGAATTTTTAATGTTAATTATTTCCGTGTAGTTGTTTTTAACATGCATTTTATTTAATAACCTGGGCACAATTTTAATAAAAACTACTCAGTTAACTTCGGATATACAGAGTGCTTTATAAAAATCTTCGAAATTTGCTTTGTTGATTTTAGAATAAGAGAGAGAGATAATACTATTCGCTCACAGCTGGGCTTTGGTCATTCGCCCATTTTCCTGCATCTGCCGAGGATTTTCAGATCCTCTCCGGCGTGAGAGACAAATTAATCTGCGCGTTAAGTAAACGAAATAAATAAAACAGATTATAAAACTAACATAACCAGAAGAATCATCCCTTTAAGTTAACCTACAAGCAAGCGCGGCAAGAGTGCAAGAATTCTCCTAAAAGACGTGCAATAGAATCGAGGTTAGATGAATGAAACAAAAGAGAATGAATATTCCTACGAAGGAGGCAATCCTACCTCTCCACACTGACACAAATTATTAGGTCAGCAAAGGTTGACCAATGTCCCCGAATATCTCTAAGAAAAAGGAATTTTACTCTAGGTTCCAGAACTAAACGATCCGACCAGGCAGAAAATTGAGTACTCGAAATGCATTATAGGGCGTCTTTGGCATTTGTTATGTTCTCAACGTTTCGTCCTAGATCGACTTTTTCATGACAACTTCGACAATTAACTCCAACTATACCGCCCACACTTGGTGAAACATTCCTAAATTCCATTGTACATGGTTCTTTGCTTATTTCCATAAAAAAAAGAAATCAATGATCGAATCTCAAGTCAAGAGCATGGCTAATAGCCACAACTTCTGCTGTACTATACTATATACTTAAGACGCTACTTAGGTGAATATCGGAACGCAATTTCAAAAACTAGACACGAAAACGCCAATCCCAACTACACCATCTTCCATTTTGGATGCGTCACACATATAAATATCGTGCTCCAGTTTAGGCACCATGAAAAAAAAACAGGTTCGATCACTTTCTATCACTCGTGCCCAAACATTGATAGCGAACCGTTCTTGAGAATGTCCGGGACGAATAATTCTTTGATTATTTAAAGACCAATATCTGTTGTTCTGTCGTGACTCACCAGATGTTAATGAACATTATACTTAAAAGGATGATAGCCGTGTTTTTTTTTAAATTCTCACAGATTCTCTTGAGATGTCTAATTCTAATGCCACTTCTCTTAGCGACGCAGCTGGATTTACGTTGGTTGACGTATCCCACAACATTCATTTCCATTTCTTTCTTCGCTTATATTATCATGTCGTTATTTTGTGGATTTCTCATTTTCAATTTCAGCTTTCTAAAGAGAGAATGTGCAGGAAGGCGACGTCCGCTACCTAAGTAATATTTTGTTTTTATAAAAATGTTTTATGTTCATTTACAATTTTTCTTACGATCACGTGAGCCGGTAAATAGTATTTATGATGGTCACAGCCTCCTAGGCACTATTTTCAAAAGTTAAATAAAAATTTAAAAATGAGAAAAACCGTCCTATCCTACGTTGAATGATCTCCTGAATACAAAAATGCAAAAAAATAAAGGTTGTGCAATTTAAAATTGGAAAGTTACTTCAAACCGGAAGTGTGACTACATATTGTCAGAAAATTGGACATTCGGCCTATATAAACCCTTCCAAATTTCAAATCGCTATCTCATGCCGTTTAAAACTTTCCAGTGTCTTGTGTCACCCGGTACATCTCGTAATTACTGGTGTAATTTAATGAGTATTCACACATTTTACTTTTTTTCACTCATTTTAAATTTTTTTGTTAAAAAGGTCGACTATGCCATTTTTAAATATGTCGTATGTATGTATGTATGATTGCTAGAAATTCTCTATCCCTGTCCATTCTTCAAATATGTTTCGTCCATGATATTTTTACCAATCGACGCATCACCTTCATTTCAAACGCTTCAAATCGTCTCGTCGCGGTATTCAAAATTCACCAAACGCTTTATCATAGTACTGGGTTTGCTAAAACAATAATAATAATTGTCTATTATTATTATTGTTGTTGTTTCTAGAAGCAGTGTTTAGATTTTTCCCAAAACGTATTGTATTAAAAAAAAACAAAAAACAGGACATTGTTTAAAAATTTTTTCAGAACTGTTTGCCGTCATATTTCTCGTTATGCATTTGGTTCGTCGGATAGAAGGGGGCTATCGATATAGAGCCAACCGAAACGGGCGTCGCGAAAATTCACAAAAAAAGAGCGAAATCTCAAATTGAATGTCAACCAATCAACACGAGCGCGGAAAACGGTTTCGCGGAAACCGAATGAATGAGAAAAAAACCACCACCCCACGTGACCGCGGTGGCACCAATCTCGGCCGACCGTAAGTCGCGTAGTAAAACAACCCCCGGCGGTCGAACCTCCCGCCCACGATGGTCTCCGTTCCTTTTAAGAGTACCAGCAGCCGGTACCCGTGCAGTAATAACGTTCATTCATAACTTGTCGGGCACCCGACTGGTACAGTTCATTCAATTTTAATCCTTCTCTGCGGTAGAATACGAAAACACCTGCCGGTGTGTGTGCTCGTTCTTCGTGTTTCTTGCGTGCTTAATTTTACCTGCATTCTGCGAGCCCCAAAACAGTGTCTTACGGCCAACACCGCATATATACGAATTGTTGTTGGTGATTGTGTTGGTTTTCGTACGTCCATGTAGATGAGAGAGAGCTCGCAACTTTCAGTGCCAAAATATAAATAGAAACAAACTCACCCCCTTCGACGCTAGCGACATGGAGAATCGAGAGCAGCGGTGGATGTTCCTTCTTGGACTCGTCAGTTTGTTACAAAGTAAGTATTCGTGCAA